GAATCATTATCAAATCCAAAATCTTCCCATTTCAGTATACGCTGTGAATTCTGTTGAAAATATTCAAAGTGTTGAAAAAATGATAAACATGTTCCCATATTTATGAAATTGAAATTATAATTTATACGTATACGCATTTTGTGAAATATTTACAAAACGACAGTTGTGCGATGACGTTGTTTGACAGAAAACTCATTTTTTGTCTCAACCAATGACGAACTTATAGTAGTTCCTAATCTATACCTAAGGCTTTTGGTGGCGTATGCACATAACGTAGTAGACCATGAAGCGAGGCTCATTGCATAATGGCCGACAACTTCAGATTCGCATTTGCACCACCGTAGGTGAAAATACCCGAAGGGAATTAGACACAATTAGTACCTTTGCTAAAGCTTCACGCCTGTTCGGGATTATAACAATAGGTACGCAGCGCGTACATGTGACTACCGCTTTGTCTTTGTCATCTGAGTGGTATCATAGATTTAGCTGGCAGAATAGCTTGACCTGTTTGTCTTGCATTTGGAGTTCGAAGTCGCACCCTTCAGTTTTTTCACCTTTTTTCAAAGGTGACAGGCACCTTTTTTCAAAGGTGACAGGTTGTGGATGTAGCCAATTACGGCCGGATTATTTTTTTGCGAAGCCATGAATACCGTCTGATTAAACTGATTCACTGAATCAGCACGGTAAACAGGGTGTGACTTTTTATACTAAAGCGCGTAGTTGACACTACTGTAGTCCAAATCCATTAAAATCCTTTGTCAGTCAGAGAAGAATACAATGGATCAGTGAGGATCGGCATATTATTATCACTATTCATTGCTGATGATTAATGAAGGGGCTCATTCTTTCCCAAATGAGCAGGCTATTTTACTCACCATGCCAATAACTACCACATTCATTGATCATATTCAATGATGACAGTAAAGTTAATGCTGATGAATGACGATGCGTGACGATGTATAAAATAATTGGGATCACGTTCAGACCTCTTCGGTCGAAGCATAATTTTAGGTAGAATGACACACCCTTTTATTTTGCGTTCCTGCCTGTACTTATGTTTACAGAAACTGATTGTGCATGTGAGCTATATGCTAAAGTTTCAGCAGACAGCATTCACATCTACAAATATTACATGTTACTATTAAAGTAAAGAAATTGAATTTGGTTTTGCAACGCATCCGCCGTATTGATTAACTCCAAATTTCATAAAATATGAGCGATTAGCCGTTTTCACATCAGAAGACGAACAAATCGTCTATAGACAAACAAATCGCCTGCTGTCGGCGGTCTGCAGGTGTCGTCTATATACCGCATGTAGCTGTTTTCACACTAGAAGACCGTATGTGGCGTTTATTACACTTGAGTAAGACGTGCAAAGTTCAAACAGTTCAAAAATGTAAGCAAAACAACGTACATATGGAAAAGTTATGTTGATGCTAAAAAAATTTGCATTTGAATTGCATATTTGATTACATATTTTCGCTTACGCGGTAGTCACAAAAATTGTGGAAAAGTAAACAGATGTAAATTCATATTGCGTTTCATACGAATGTATTTCTTCCACCATTTCATAGTTGCGGAGCGCGTTTTAAAGAAAGAAAATCTGAAAATTTCCAAGGATCGTTTACAACTTAGAGGAAAGCAACCGGAATTGACTCCCCAAATGGAAGAGGTCAGTGAAAAATTGTTGACTCCAATTTATTAGAAGGCAATCGAGTGTATTCCATTGTTATGCCAATATGCTCCGCTCCATTATCTTCTATTTAGTCTGGGAACGTTAACGATGAAGCTCATCCTAGTGAAAATCGAACAGTTGTTGTTAGTGGCTTTGGCGCCGATACTAAAGACGAAGATTTGGAAATGTTTTTTGAATGTCCCAAACGATCTAGTGGAGGGGATATAGAGAAGCTAGAAAGATCTCAACCAGATGTTGCTTATATAACTTTTAAGGATACTGAAGGTTAGATTTCAATCTATATAATATGCATATCTTCTGAAAACTAGCGTGCACCTTCCCTCCAATTAGTTCAAACTAGGTTATGCCGATGTCCAAAAAACTCCTTTTGATTCAAAATAGCTTTTTATCGAGTAAAGTTATCGAAATGAAACAACTTTTATTAGTTAAACACTATCTTACGGCTTATTTGTTCCTCTTGGAGGAATTGCCGTATCATGCGCAGGGTGGATCCAGAGCAAAAATTGACAGTATCATGGACACCTTGAGCACTGAAGGTGGAACCGAGCGCCGAAGGCGCGAGACACCTAGAGGGGTCCGGGGGCACGCCCCCTCCAACGAAAATTTGGAGAAAAAGAACCTCTCAAAAACTGCAGTTTGCCGCAATCTGGGCGTCGAATGTTAATAAATAGACATTAAAATGACCAACCCTCCTCCTTTCTCATCCGGGTTTTCTTTCTCATGCTAAGCTTTACTCAACTGAAACACGCACTATAAACAATGGACACTTAACGAACTGTTGCATGATGTTATACCACTACAAATCAGTAAGTTAGGATGATGTCCAAATTTTCTTAAATGCGAGCAATACTTCTGTAATTAAATGCTGCGATTTTGCATAAATTAGACACATTTATAAGTAGGGTATTAACTTTGGACACTATTGATGTTGATTTTTCAGGTAAAATGCAATTGTAATATCAAAATCTCAGTTCTCATTCCCTCTATATCTAATGAAATTTATTTCATTCTAATGGCTATGCAGTTATCATTGTTAAGTAGTTTTTTATTTCTATACGCGAGGTAGGAGATCTTTACAAGGTTTTGACTATTGTTTCTAAATGTTCGTTTCTTGATCAGCTTTTGCTTCAAGTCTTCGTCGTTACTGTCGTGTCTTCTTTGTCTGTTCTTATCTTGTTGCGTTTCTCAACGTTTCATATGATTGTACTCCGTTGTTCCACTGAAGTTTCTGGTGTTGTGCACGCCCTTTTATAGTAAAAGTTGAGGGGCATCTGCTCACGTCATCAACGAGAGTGGGCTGATCTTTGTCCAGCCAATCAGCGTTGTAAGTTAGAAATGTAAGTTGGCGTTAGGAGCTCGCCCCAGCTCTCATATCTTGTTTATTCAAGGCGTTGTCGCACTAGTCAAGATGGTCTTTTGCTTAATCGATCAATACTTAAAAGTGTTAACAACATAAGATATTTATCATCAACAGCTAGTAAAATTTACAAACAATACCACCGTGAACAATATCTTTCAACATAAAGATATGCACACTTACTTTTATGGAATTAAACTTTTGATGACGTAATACTTAAATTGCTACTGCCTACAACATGTCGTTGCGACAGTTAAACCTGGCAACGACATAGGGCTGTTGATCCAGATGCGCACGTTCTGACAGGGTGATCGATTTTTTTTCCCTTACTACCTTATTCGATCCTACGAAATGTCATGCATGAAAGGAAAAGTAATTAATGATTGCGAATGGCCGAAAATTATATTTACTCTGTGTTCTTTGTGGCAAAAATTAATTATTAATCAACGTCATTTTCAGGTGATATTTCCTATTTTACAACTATTTTCATATGCATATAACTGAACACAATAAAGCCTTGCGTAACATTATCAATCAAATCGGCTACCTTTTTTGAGACACCCGGTATATATACAGATTTTAACCTTGTGTTCACATCAACTTGATATAGAAACACAGGTGTAGCACGATCGAGCCTGTTCTCAGGTGTGTAGCTCAGGGAGATAGAAATCATGGAACTGGTCCCCTCTATTTTTCGTTCAGACCAATTGTCTCGCCACACCTTGTTTATTACATGTAGCGAGAAACAAAATTTAACATATTCTTTGTCTCACAAAAAATGAGAAATGCGACTGACTTTTTCCAAGAGTCTGCCCAATTTAATCGCGAGCAAACAGAATAAAGAGTCTCATATGATATAAAAGCGTCATGTGAATTTTATAAAAAAATGGGGTGTTTTATCTTATCTACAAACGAATTTCATCCATGCACTTAATTATGCAACACTAAAAATATTGTATTTTCTTGCATTTCATATGAGATAAAAGAGGCATCTGCCACAGATGCACCCATGCAGCTATACGGCAAGAAAATGCCTTTGTCGTACTTTTTCTGGATACCATTTTGATGTGTTTTAATTCACGTGCTCTTTCAACCATGTACAACATACGAATATCATACGAATATATTTCTTCTACAATTTTCTAGTGGTGGAAAGAGTTCTACGGCGAGATAATCTAGAACTTTTTGGTTATCGTTTGCAACTTAATAAAGGTCTATCTGAAAAGGTCAGTGAGATATTGTCAAATCCTTTACCAGCTGATAGTTTCAGTAAATATATAATTATTTATTCCGAAAAAAAATACAAATTTTAAATCTGTATATTCCTAATCTATCGATTCATCCTCAGCGGAAGTAAATCTTATCTGGATTATATACGCGGTTTACAATTAACGCAATATCTTGTAAATATCTGCTGAAGATGAATCGATGGATTCGAAATTATACAGATACAGACCATTTTCGGAATGACTTTAAGTCTTATTGCATTGCAATTTTTTCAAATGCCTGCTTAATACAACACTAGAAATACACCTAACGAGCATCACTTCAGCTATACTCTGTAAGACTGCTGTTATCCATTGTCGCATTTTTTGCACGTGTATACGCACGTAAAAATTTAAACCCATTTAAATAATACTTATGAAATCTGCCATTGAATAGATGCGTAAGGTGGAATTCTGTTGATTCTGTTGTGTATTTTCTGGCATAAAGTTTATCATATAACAACTTAGAAGGTTTTAAACTGTTACGTGCCGTGCGTGTACATACGTGCATGCGCAATAAACGCCACAGTGGAAAGCGGCCTAGAGGCTGCAAACTTTGAACTTAATAAATCTATTTATCCATCTTTTACGAAAATCGCACCGTCCCTTCCCATCGTTCTAGCACTCATGGTTCAAAACTGTGGTTCTATTTAGGCTAAGGACGAAGAGACTCTTCCTAGTGAAATTCGAACAATTATTGTCAGTGGCTTTGGCAACGATGTCAAAGACGACTCTTTAGAAATGTTTTTTGAAAGTCATAAACGATCTGGCGGAGGGGATATTGAGAAGTTGGAAAGATGTAAACCTGATGTAGTCTATATCACTTTTAAGAGTGCTGAAGGTTAAGGTTCAATTTGTGTGTATATGTATATTACCCATAAACGTTTCCCTCCAGAAAAATCTACACCATAATTATTTTTTAAGCTTTCATATTGATCGTTTATATAGAAAGTAGTGCATACCTAGATATTTTAGGGATTTGACAACAAATTTATTTGCCAAGAAACGAAAACATACCAAAGAAATTACATTATAAACAATTGGCAGGGGGGCAAAATTTCGAGAATAAAAATTTCGGGCAAAGGTCAGCCGAAAATTCGGGCAAACTGAAAAATAGTTACACAGCTAAAATTTTTAAATCCGAATTTTATAATATATATCACAGTCATATGTGTATTCAATTTGGCCTTTGCCAAGTTTATGGTTACAAATCTGAAAGTTCGAGCACATTGTATAGTTCAAAAAAGAGGAAACCCATATAGACGACGAGGCAGAGCTCTCACTTATAAGTAGACAGATTTAGAAATGGAAAAAATTTCCGTGTTTCTATTCAGTTTTCGAGACACGTGGGTGTTTGGGGGAAAGGAAGTAAGCACTAGGAAAAAGAGCATGCAAGGCCCAACGCTCTCTACGCTCGCCCTATTTCGAGTTTCACGTTATTTCGCGTTCCTTCAAAATCTCACAAATGTTTCCAAAACTGCATAGAACAACTGAATAACGGTACGTTAGACGATTTTAGGATGAACATTAAAGCATTCCCATACATGATATAAAGCAATTTCAATTCATTTGTGTTATTACTCTCTTAGTGGCTGAAAGAATTTTAAATCGAGATAATCTGGAAATATCTGGTTATCGTTTGCAACTTGCGAGAAAGCGAACGGAATTAAGTCCTTTACTGAAAAAGGTTAGCGGAATAAAGGAAACCTTTCATAAAGAGTAAACGAATTAAAAAAGTAAAGTAAAGCAGCATATCTTCTTTAAATTTAAAATTCAGCATGAAGAGGAGGAAGCTTATCTTGGTGAAGTTCGTACAGTTGTTGTCAATGGTATTAGCGAAATAAAGGACGAAGTTTTGGAAATGTTCTTTGAAAGCAACAAACGGTCTGGTGGAGGGGAGATAGAGAAGCTAGAAAGATGCGGACCTAATGTTGCTCATATCACATTTAAGACTGCTGAAGGTTAGATTTCGATTTTTTTAAACAGAATGTTGTCTTAATTAACCCTAACGTGTGGTGTTTCCAGTGGCGTAGCTTGCCCGACAATTTAGTCCCGCTATGCTAATATTTTGGTGTTCATTGACTGTGAAAGCAATGACTTTCTAAAGAAAAGAATAACAATAACATAAAATTTGCATAGCATGACTAAATCGTCAGGCTGGCTATGCCACTGGGTGTTCCACATTATTCTTATGTATAACAGTGCTGTGTTTCACGTCTCAATCTTATTGGGATTTTTTATATAATCGATATTTTTCACCAATAGTTCTTATATTGTTATACGCAATCAATCAGTTTTCACGAGTACCAAACTTCTTCATTTTCTTCTTTAAGTTGGGTTGAAAAAACTAATTTTTGCTTATTCACCGCCAATTTAAACATGAAATGTTTATAATTATCGGGCAATACTTTAATAGTGAAAATCCGTAAAAGCAGCTTTTAGAAAGGTCGAAAAAGCTTTTTGATTGCCCCTGTAAGAAATGTTGTTTTCATTACCTACGCGAACACTAGGCGTATTTTAAACAATTGTCCTAATTTTGATTCAGCGAATCATAATTCTAAATGCCCGCATTTCTTCAAACTATATATAGATTACGTCAAATTACATTTATTCAGAATAATCACCTATGTGAAAGGCTACTGTGAAATGCAGTTCATCAGTTTATTTATGTAACAGGAGTCATCAATTGACTATATTTCACTGCATTTTTTTCACTCAAAATCGCCATTATAGAAATTTTATGTTCGCTATAATTGGAAATAGTACCGTGGCGCGGTGCGAGTGTACTAATGCCGCTGCTAGATTTATTACACCCGGGTATTGTGACAGAACATAGCGGAATCCAAAGTTGCTCAAATTCTATGTCATGGACGGTGGACGTTTGGGTTGGTTTTGTTAGTCATACGCATGCGCGAAATATTGAACAAGCAAAAACTGTTAATCAGCAACGTCCTCATAGACTAAGGAGGAATGTTTGTGTTTAATTGAAAGCGTCAGCAAATTATTTAACTGTAACTTCCGAACTATTGTGAAAAATATTTCACAAAGTAAAATGAGCACATTTTTTTCTTTATGAGCAAACTTGTCGATGATTTTTAAAACTGAGCGATTAAAGGAGTGATAAATAATCTGTATAAGCTACAAAGTCTTTTAAACTGGTAGGTGTCTATTGAAAGGTGGTAGGTGTCCAAAAAAAGATGGAGTTTATTTGTAAGCTATATATTAAGCTTGATGTGTTATTTGCAAAAAAAAACTGACTAGAAAGAGCTGTCACACCAATGCTTTACCTTGAAAGAAGCTTTTTTAAAGTTTAAATTTGAATTTTAATAAAACAAATGTTAATTTTAAGCTTTTAAAGTCAACTGCAAATTTTTGCAGCATCTTCGAACAATAGTCAATAACATAAATTTTGACGTTTTCTCCCTGAAGATTTTGTACTGTTTTGACGTTTTGAAGGTTGAATCTTTAACCATTACTAAGGGGCCAATTACATGGAGTCTTTTCAGCCCGGCTTACACGGCTTAAAATTCAGCCCGGTATTGTTGTGAAATGCCAATAGAGTGGTCTGTATATATCATCCGTTTTCATGATGACAAAGAGAGGCGTAACATAAAACTACCGAAGTTTTCATCGAAATTTTGCGAAATGACAATTATGCATTGACGTTTGAAAATACAAAGTTTTGTCTCGACCAATCAAGAGCTTAGTATTTCACACTGGCGCATGCGCATAACGTAGAAGACCGTCCATGACTTGAGGCCCATTGTATAATAGCGGTAAAATCATATGTAATTTAAAGGTAAAATCAAAATTGCTGCCATTTTACCTCGAGGAGTGGAGGCCTGGATCATAACATGATCATGTTCCGCCATCTTGGCTTCAAATTTTTCGGAATTGCGGCTAAATTTCCCTGTGCGTTTGATTTCGAATAATTATCAGTTATCGACTCATTTGAGTTATGTCATAACATAAGCTTAGATTTCGCTAGCTCAGGAAATTGGTTGTTTGGATTAAATCGGCGAGGAGTTACTGCATGCGCATGGCTTGTATTTCTGGTAATATTCAAATAATTGCCAATAATTTCAGTGGTTGGCAGATCATTCCACAATGTTACAGCAGGAAACTAATACTTTTCTTAAAATTTGTTCTTGGCTTAGGAATTTGAAAATTAATTTCGTTACGTAATTTATGAGCCTGATTTTTGTCATAGGTTCATTGTGATTTTTGTTTCTTATATTATACATAAACGTTTTTATTTTCATTCATTTTGCCAATGGTTGCCACCCAAGGACTGTTAGGATTTCACTCGGCCTGGTTTCATACGATTTACTATGGATATAGTGTGGAAATAGTACGGGTTTAGCCTATTTCCATAATATGGATTTTGAAAATAGATTCCAGTGTTTTCATGATCGTTTTTTAGTGGCATCGCGGGTGTTGGAGCAAGCGGATAAGATGAAGCTTGACGGCTATATTTTGCAAGTAGAAGAAAAACAACCGGAGTTGTTTCTACCAGTAGACAGGAAAAAAATATATGTGGAAAACCTTAACCCAAAGACGACCGAAGACAGCTTGCGCAATTACATAGAATTGAGAGCAAAGGCAGACGTGTGTGAAATAGAGTTTGGTGAAAACAGAAATGCCTTGTTGACTTTCAATATAACCCCAGGTAATACTGATACCGAAGGTTGGCCAACACGTGAAGCCAAATATCACGTACACTGAAGCCCTGTCAGGTGTCATTTTTGTTTTAATTTGAAAATGGGTATAGATTTAAAAACCTGAATTTTTAAAACTGTATTGAGCATCCCTAATGTTCTGATCGGCACTCTTTATAGATTTCAAGAACTTTTCCCTAAATAACAGGAGGTTAGAAGGAGCAGAATTGAAATTTTCCAATCCTCCTGTTTGTAACAGCGTTCTTGTCACTGGACTAACCAAGAAGACCACGAAAGACACAATTGAGATGTTCTTTGAGAACGAAAGGAATGGTGGAGGTAAAATATATGGGGATATCATATACCAAAAAGACAAAGGAATAGCAGTTGTTTCATTTTGTAATCCTCGAGGTAAAGTTAATATGTTTTGGTTTATAGATCATATTATTATATCATTTTTTTGGTCGAGAGCGAATCACGTGAGTGAAACAATTATATATAAAAACAAAAACACGTGCCGGACACGAGGTTGTGTTATTATTAAAATAACAACTTTCAATCACGTGCAACGGTTTGTCCATTGGTCTTTTATGATTTATGAACACATATTATCTTGTCGTTTGGTTTTTCTTTGCAAGTGGTCAAAGATACCTCCGAGTCCTCAGGTCCGAGACCTCAGAAAAGGTTAACACTTATTTCCTGCGACCGAAGGAAACATGTGCTGCACGTGATTAAAGTTGTTATTTCCCGTGGGAAATGAGACATCAAAATCTCGTCTCTCTCCCGCGTGATTTGCTCTATTCGAACACCAAACGTTTACAAGTGGTATATGATAATATAATAATGTTAATAATGTTAATTGTGTAAATTTTAGCACTAAATGTCGATTGCATGCAAATCTGACAGTGTGATATATTCGTTGTAGCTCACAAGTAGATCTGCTGCATGTGCTTAGTTTCAAGTTGCTCTATGTGTAGTACATACATACACACATACATACATCGCCTTTATTTACGGCGAACCAATCAGTAAAATCACATCTAAAGCCAGCAAATTTCTCTAGACCTATATATTCAGGATGTATACCTCATTTACTTAAAATTATCAACTCTAATAAAGCCGCAGGTCTTGATGGCATTCCTTTCGTTGACAAAAATATTCAGCCTAACTCTCTTCCGGGGAATTTATCCAGACGATTGGAAAATTGCTAAGGTCTTCAAAAACGCGGCAAGGAATGATTTACACAATTATCGTCCAATATCAATTTGAGAACTTAATCCATTTATAATCTTCCAAATTTGCTTTGGGTCTTTCTTAGCAACATCAATTTTCTTCCTCGAGTCTTTCTTAGCAACATTTAGCCTGTTTAATAGTGAAGAAATAGAAAATATTTTCCGTGTTTCTATACAGTTATAGAAGCACGCATGTTTTTTATTTCTTTTATAATATAACTCAATAAAAAGATTTTGTACAAATATTATAATTCGATTCAATTACAGATTCTCATTACATCGCTTCGCCTGTCAAGTTCGGCGGAAAAATTCCCGTGTTTCTATACAGTTATAGAGACACGCCTCTCGACCAATCAGCACGCGCGTACTATAAATGTTATACTTTAACATTATTTACTTCATTGCGAGCATTTTTGTATTGTCCCCAGTAAATAGTACTTCGTGTCTTATTATACTGCTTTTTCAAATAGTCCCTTGCTCTCATTCTTTTGACAACCGCAGAGGTTATCCATAGAGACTTCTTTTTGCATACGCTTCTTCTTAAGAGGTATATGCTTATCTTGGACTTGTGTAAGGTTAGTTAACCATTGAGTTGGTTAAGTCGTTCAAAATGTATTTTTGTTGAAATGCTTGAATTGTCGTTTATTTACAAACCCGGTGCGATTTATTTTGAACTATCATTAAATCTGACTTAAGTTCAATTAATTAAAGAAAATTTCATGTGCAGAAATACCTTAGTTAGTAACATGTACAACCAGCATTTTCGACTAGCATGATGTACTGATGCGTGTGTTGGTACAAACGCGTTCGTATTAGTTAATGATCATAAATCCATTTTGGGTCTCTAAATCATTAATTTAGAATCTTGGATATTGTATTGAACTGATCTGTTAAATGAATTTATCTTGTAGTTGTGCAGACCTTACGGACAAAAGAACAAAAATTGGATGATTCTGTACTATCTTTGCGACCGTACTATTCGTTCATGGAAACGGTTAAAGAAACAACCACGAAGACAGTAAAGTTGAGTACCGATGTTGTAGATCATGTTCTTAAGAACTGCAATGAGGAATTTCGAAAATTATTTGGTGCTGATATCCTTCGAACCTTCAAGGAAATTACAGGAGAGTTGACAGTGTCAGCCGATGTTGCTAATGAAATTGAAAAATACATCACACAATTCGCGGTGAAAGATATAGTAATCTGCGCTAAACTATTAGAAAAATCAAACGAAGAATTGGGAATGAAAATAGCTAACGTGCAAGAAAAAAGGATTACAGTTGTACTAGACGAGGAACAACTTCAGATAAAACTTATCGGAAAGAAGGAGGTGGTATATGAGATCTACGAGCAATTCAAACACGACATTACCGAAATGGAGAAAAGGTTGGAAGTTGTTACGGAACAAATTAATTTACCTGGCCCTAAACTAGAACTGCTCTTACTTCATGGTGTTGGAGAAATGTTAGAGAATGATTTTCAAGTAGAAGTAAAAACAGAACCGCTAAGGTCGCTAGTGACACTGAAAGGAAAACAAAATCAAGTTTCTCTGGCTTCAAAAGAAGTATACATGAAGGTTATGCAAATACATGAAGATAATATTGATATTAATGCGATGAAGGTGCGCTTTCTGCGATCAGGTGGAATTGATGTGTTGAATAATGAAATGAAGAGAATCGGATTGAAGGGATTGATTTCGCTGGATTCAAAATTGACCAAAGCCAAGATTCTTGTTTTCGATAAAGCAGATATTGAAAATATTCATTCGTTCGTGAACAGCATCATGTTTGAAAAACAGTACCAGCTCGATGACGACAGCCTCACCCTTCTTCGAAGCAACAAGTGGAAAGAATTTCAAGAAAATATAACGACAAATAAATCTGTTGTACTGTGCACTGATGAAACGAGCCCAAATGAAATTACGCTGATCGGCGAGAAGAAAGAGGTCAAGGAGACTTATGAATCGTTGCAAAAATTCATGAAACAAAATACCATTGTAAAACACGATATTGAATTAGACAAAGGATATGCAGGTTATCTGTCAAAGTATTGTACAGGAGATCTCAATGAAGTCGAAAAAAAGCTAGAAGATCTCTCGGTGCGGGTAGTTTTGGAAGATGAAGGAGTAATAAATATAGTTGGTACGAAAGACGGGGTTGAAGAAGCAAAGAGACAGTTGAATGAAATCGTATCAAACATAGAAAAAGGCACGATCATTTTCGATAGACCACGCATGCAAGATTACCTTAAATCGGAAGCTGGGAAAATCTTTATTAGTGGAATACAAACAAGACATAAATGCTTCACAGTTCTAAAAAACGATGATGAGGAAGAATATTTTGCGGTTCCTTTATCGCGACCAGTTTCCGAATTGCTTTGCAGTCATGACACCCAAGAAAAGATCACATTAAAAGTGTACAAGGGGGACATCACCGCGCATTGCTGTGATGTCATCGTCAATGCTGCTAATGGTGATTTAAATCATATCGGTGGACTGGCCAAGAGTATCACAGTTGCTGGAGGAAAAGAGATCCAAGAAGAGTGTGACGCTTACGTGAAAGCAGAAGGAAGGTTATATGAAGGTGAATGTTTCAGTGGAAGTCCTGGAAAGTTGCCGTGTAAGCGTATTATCCATGCGGTGGGTCCCCGGTGGGATGCAAGAAATCCTGAAAAAACATGTAGAACATTAAGTTTTACATGCACTAAGGTTCTCGAGGAAGCAAGAGGCTATCGATCAATTGCTTTTCCCGCAATCGGAAGTGGTATTTATGAAATTCCAAAAGAGATTTGCGCTGACTTAATGATTGATGCTGCTGAGAAGTTTAGTAAGACAAGCAATAAATCGAACCTGAAAGAGATCCACTTTGTCGATAATGATGAAGAGAGCTGTCGAGCGTTTGTTAGGAAATTTCGTGAAAAATTCGGTACACGCTCTTCTATCATAAAGACAAATGAAAGGGTTGTTGGTACACGAAGTAGGGTCGCTCTGTCAGCAACGAAGTCTATGATTCAAGAGAATGAACGAGAAGAACCAGATATCGCATCTGAGTTGTTGCCAAAACAAAAGAATGACAATTTCATTATCACTAAGAGCAACATGAAAATTTTTGTTGCAGTAGGAGATTTGTCCACATACAAGGTAATGCATGCACACAACTGTTTTCAAAATAGAAATTTCAAAGTAGGCTTAAGTGGTGTTTTATTTTTATATTTTAATTTGTGCCCTGAAGTACAGTACTGTCCAGAAATAACCTAACACTGCGGTTGTGGTTAGGTTGCGGTTAGGTTGCGGTTAGGTTGCGGTTAGGTTGCGGTTCGGTTGCGGTCGACCGATAGAAACACTAGACGAGCACATGAGAAAAAATACGATCGCGGTTGCCGTTCGCTTACGAACGGAATGTTATGAACATCTGAGAACGACAACACAATAATCATATGGAAAAATCTGAAGAAATGTCTGTCAGACAAAGTTAGGCCGAGGTTAAACCTCCGTCTCACCGCTGTTTGACCTCAGTCTGACCTCAGTTCAACCGAGGTTTGACCTAGCTTAACCGCGGTTTTTGTTACGTTATTTCTGGACAGTACTGTATACGCAACAACTTAGTTTATAAAATACTAAATTGTAGTGACTTATAGACAATACTGTAGTTTTTACATAACCCCGAAATTAGCCTAAATGTTCTGTTGCTACAATATACAGAAGCATGTATATTAGCAGAAAGGAAGCACATCGCGAGGGCTGCTTTCTCCGTAGCATCAAAAGTATTTTGCACGGTGAAATTACTTCCTATCAGTCCTACGCTAAAATTACTTACATTACATATGCTAAAAATGCATACATTTCTCTTACATAGGCCGACGTATTAGTCAACACAACAGGGGAAAATCTCAACCTTGATTCTAACCCGTGTAGCAGGGCACTTAGTAATGAGGCGGGTCCAACACTACAAGCCGAATGTAGAAAGATAGGAAAACTGAAGCTTGGCGAGGTGGCAGTTACCAAGGCAGGAAACTTGCTCTGTGATGAAGTTTATCACTCAGTGTGCGTGCAGTGGGGTGAAGGACAGGGAGAAGAGGTACGTCTTATGCATCAACACGAGTTATTTAAATTTAAGGTGATATGAAGTTGTGTTTGAAAGGACACTAATTATTGGCAACTAATTATAAATTCTACCTTTAACTTTACAAGTTTCTATTTCCAATAAGGTTATATATTCTTCCCATGATTTATAACGATCAATTATAAAAATCAATATAAACAATTGATGACAACGTCTGTGGACAATAGTCTGCTTTCTTTTGTTTTCCAATGAAAGTCGACTCACTAAATTGATCAAACATCTTAAGCAATTTAACGCCGAACGGGACGGGTTGGGCATTTTTCTTTCTCTATGTTAATTTTGACTGAAAAAAGTGCCACTATACACAGTTTGAATAAAACGTTTATATAGGTACATAATTTATGTCACCGTCGCAGGCACAGCATGAAAAAAGTGCACGAACATATTCCCGATCCGTATGCATTCTGTGGGCATATAGTATAATATTGTATACCTATAATAAGTACCTAGATTTATGTAAATAGATTTAAGTAGCTACTGTATTATTGGACCAGGAACTGGTCCCTAACCGCTGCAAATCTTGTTGTTGTTGTTGTTGTTGTTGTTGTTAGGGGGCGACGCTCTTTAAAAAAACCCCAAGGCTCTAGCATTACTTGTTTGATCGGAATGAAACTTGGCACAATTATTCTAAGCAATATTCCGCATCGATTGACGGAATTCGAATTTTTACTTTTGACCTTTGAAGCAAGTTACAAGCAATTCTTGATATATTTGCAGCCAATAATATACACATATCATTAATATTCAGCCTATATATGTATAAGAAAACGCAAACGATTAGAAATACATTGTCCTCTCTATTGTTGTAAATACAATGCAGTTCAGAAACTCGGTCACGCAGTTCCTGGTCCACTATAGTACGATCGTACTTGTATGATAAACAAGTATATTGTTTTCTTAATGCTTAGTACTAACTTTCGCCGAGTGTATAAATTTAAATTATATCTACAAATTGCCTATTTTTATAGGTATTGCGTTCCATTATCAAGAATTGCTTGAAAAAGTGCCACTCAAGTGGAAAGACCTCGATTGCTTTTCCAGCTATTGGTACAGGAATATTAGGTTTTCCGCATGATGTAGCCGCGAAGATTTTCTTCGAAGAAACCAAAGAATTCGAACAGAGTGTCTCAAACTGTAGTATAAAAGAAGTCAGTTTCGTCGTTTACTCCCAAGACGCCAAGTCAATTGAAGCATTTAAGAATGCGTTAAAGAAGCAGACAGAGTGGGACAGCAGTGGAATTGTGACTCCTGTTCCTGTTCCTGTTCCTACTCCGCGCAAAAGAGGAATAATAAAGCGAACTCTAAAATCGAAATCAACGAGCATAAGTAAACCTTCACAGTTAGAAAGACCAAGCGACGACGAAAACGAAGAAGAAGAGCCTTCAGTATTAAAAAGAGCCTGGAATTATTTATGGAAATCGGAATCAACAACAAAGGAGAAATCTGCAATCACCACCAAAAAACTTCTGCTAGACATTTACGCGAAAGACGAAAACACAGTTAAGCGTGCAAAAGAAGATATTATGAAGATTATGGAGTCCCAAAAAAAGAAAGAAAGCATTGAGGACGACATTATTGGGAAGTTATCACAGCAGGAAATCTCTGACATAAAATATCTGGGTGAAAGGGCCGAAGTAAGAATAACGGTCAACAAAGAACTTAACCGTATTCTTGTGGCTGGGCACAGTGATGACGTTTCGAAAATGAATTTTGAAATTATGCGAATTTTGACCGGAATTCGTGACGCAGAGAAGGAGAAGGAGAAAGCTGCTCTGCAAGATGAAGTTGCTGAGATGGTTTCTCAAGGAGTGCAGTGGTACTCTGTTGATCCAACAAGTGATGATCTCGAAGAATATGACAAGCATACAAATGCCATGATTGAAAAGGCGTACAGCAAACAGGAAAAATCGGTTATTTTCTTTGATGATGAAAAATACGAAATTGTTTTCAAGCAAATGCAAGAAACTAACTTGGCTAAAAACGAAACGAAAAAAGTTATAAGGAAGGATCTTAAAGGTATTTAATAAAGAACTTATATATTTATGATCCTGATTCGTGCTATAAAAAACGACAGGCTACCAAATTAGAATTCCGAACCCTTGTCTGAAAAAAATGTCACATTTTATTAACTCAGCGCAAGCCAAAAGAAACATGTAAATGTGTATTTCTCGAAGGTAATTTGATGCCATTCATATTCTCTTGCAGTAACAGTCCCTGAGTATTGGGATCCTCAACCATGTGACGCAAGTGGGAAGGAAATTGGTGTTCATCTTGTTTGTCTTGACCCCAACAATCCAAGCCACAAAGACGAATACAAAAAAGTTTACGATCTTTTTGATAAAACCGCAGCTAATCAAAATATTGTACAAATTGACAGAATCCAGAATCCATCATTGTACAAGCTATACTTTATAAAGAAGCGAAGCTTAGATGAAAAAAATGGCAGTAACGAGATGTTATTGTTTCATGGGACGAAAGGTGACAAATTGAACGAAATAAACGAAAGCGGTCTGAACAGGAATTATGCTGGGATTAATGGTAAGTTCTTAACACACTCTAAAACAATTTGACTTCAACTGCTTTTAAACAACTGAATGTGGGCTGATTTAATTACCATTTTTGGGATATTGCTACTTGACCCCATCTCCTGCGCGAATTGGTATTTGGCGATACGCCGCAGAAATCTTTAAAATTTCAATCAATAGACCTTTTTCATAATGACGTCAAACGCGGAAAGTCTGATCTTACACGAAGTTTGATTAGCTCGATAGTTTTGTGGAGCCAATCAAATTCCGTGTATCATCAGACTTTCCGCGTTTGACGTCATTATAAGAAAGGTCTATTGATTCAAATAAAATGTATGGATAATAAAAACACAAAGTTTTTTCAAAAGATATGTGCTAATCAAAATTAGTTAAAAAGTCCCAAAAGTACAATTGCAGTACAATTCATGATTTTGAACAGAATAAACTAAATAGCCATAATATATTTGCATACAAACTAGCGGAACTAAAAAAAGTACAGAAAGGTAAACAAAAATATCGGCAAAAGTACAAAATATTGGAAAAAAGTACACCAGGAGTGTGTTTTGACAAGAAACATTGCCTGCATTTACCTGCATTTGCCTGCATTGTAAACTCCGTAAAAATATCCGGCACATCTGAACACGGGCTCATTAACCTCTACCGTGTTTCGAAGTTGTCAAAACGATGCTAAATTTAGAAACTGTATTCCTCACGGTCAACCATTGAACTGTAAACAAACTGGAACGATAACTCGAAACATTTAACGAAAATTGAAGCCAGTACTTTTTATACTTTTTGGGACTTGTGAGCTGAAATACTTGACGCCAAATGTCGAGGCGTATATAAAATTAAAGTTATTAAAAAGTTATTTTACTTTATATCTTTTATTTTATAAACTTTTCATGTTAAAAAGTTACAATGAACTACATATGCATAAACTACAAATGAACTACACACATGCAATGGCTGAAACCACAGAGATATTGTCTCCAATAACGCAGGGTTCCACAACTTACTTACAAATAGACAGACACAAACATACACATATAAGCAACTTAACAAATTTATTGGACTTTCTCGATACATGAAGAAACAGTAACAACTTAATATCAAGTGAAATGATTTAATGGAACCGAAGTCAAGATTTGTAACTGTTAATTGAATTAAATTGGTTAGAGAAGAAAATCACGGATCAGTCATGTATCGAGAAAGTGCCATAAATTGCAATGTTAGCAGCAGGGTCTTGTTGAAATGATCCGTAATGGCCGAGTTGTGACATTTCACACAAACAGACTTGAAAGTTTTAGAAATTTCGTATAGAAATTTCGAGACTTTAGCTTAGAGGAAAATATCTAAAAAATAGTTGAAAATTAATTTCCCGTTTTTTTTCGGTTGGTAATTGTTTTTGGTTTGTAGTATACATATATATAACTAGCCAATCGCCATTCAGGATACAAAAATTGCGTATTTAATAATATGTTGTAGTTTATAAAAAAGGGAGGATATTATTGAAGTTCAATAACTTAGCTATATCTTGTAATATCCCTCCTGCTACGCGTTGGTTGATTTTTTTACCACCGGTATAAAAAATTAAAAGTTATTGTATTTGGTCTTGCAGGACAGTTGATGCTTGCACTTTATGCAATATGTCCCAATAGCAGTAGCGTAGGGTAGCCAGCCCGACAATTTAGTTAGCATTACTAAATCGTCAGGCTAATAGATGTCAGAAAAGCGCCTCAAAAATTTTAAGATTTTATCATGCTAATAATGAATATTTTTTCTGTACTTTAGGAACTGCTTTTGGTAAGGGAGTATATTTTGCAAGGGATGCTTCGATGTCTTCCGGTTATACACAACCAGACCAGACGTCAGGCAAAAAGTACATGTACTTGGCGAGGGTGGCAGTCGGGCAATTCACAAAAGGTGAACAGTCTTTGTTGGTACCGCCACCGAAAGCAGGTAAAGGCAATGAATCTTACGATTCTGTGGTCAATGAAGTTACAAACCCAACAATATATGTTATGTTTTACGATAACCAATATTATCCAGAATATTTAATCACCTTTACTTAGATATTTGATAGAGAAAATGTTCAAGTTTAACTTTGAGATCATTATGCATGTATCTCATCCAGAGATCAAATTGAAACCCAGGTTGGTTCTGCCTCGGTTATTTTAAATTCATGTCAGCTTATATAAAATCCACGATTTTTCATCATATTTGACCTTATACGTGTGATGTTCGGGCACCGAAATTTTGCTACACAATATCTGCGTTTATCAACTTTATACCAAACCTGGAGAAAACATTGATGGGGTCACAATTGGCAAAAATTTTAAAAAAATCTTTGGGTTGAAAACTATGGTATGCCTTAGTCATGTCGCTACAATGGTTAGCGCCGACAGGTAGCTATCGGCTACAGTACTGTCCAGAAATAACCTAACACATGCGGTTGCGGTTCGTTTGGGGTTATAGGTTACGGTTCGGTTGCGGTCGATAGAAACTGCCTAGGGGAAAAATACCTTCGCACCTTTATTAAACTTCCGAATCAACGGAATGTTACGAACAGCTGAGAAGGACAACACAGTAACCAAATCGAAAAAATCTTAAGAAATGTCTGTCACCTCGGCTCAACCGCGATCAAACCGAGCTTTGAACTAGGTTAACGGTGGTTTTTATTATGTTATTTCTGGACAGTACTGTATTAATCGGTTTGTTTTGAATTCGCTTTTGGAAAAATAATTTTTCGTATTTCCACTTTCATCGAATAATTCGAATCAACGAAATTGAATTCTATCAGTTGTAATTCTAATTTTGATTAATAGTTGACTTGAACGTTTCTTCTATTTCAAAATTTTTGTATTTTCGTCGCATCCCATATATTATTGCGGCTGCCGATTATATATGCATGATTCTATTTATACCTTATATTTAATACTATAGTCTATATAATCAAAATAAACTCCGAAGCACGCAGGCTTAGAATAAAAAAAAATATATAAAAACTGCCTTAGCATTAAACTGCCTAACCATTGTTTTTAAATAAAAAGTGATTATTGAAATTCCGCCGTCGCATTGTTTTGAAATTCTCGGACAAGTTTTGCGAGAAGAAATATACATAAACAACCTCCCCCCAATTATCGTCTTGCCGCGTTAATGGGTCTATTTACCCATTGAATGGGTGAAATGACAGCTTCGATGAATGTTTGGTATTATTGTAAAGCAAGCTTTTTTATTTTGCGACATTGAAACACTGAAAAGATTGAAACATTTAACTCAACACAAGTGAATAAAACACACTACACACACTGATACTGTTACTATATGTGCAGTTTGTTCAACAAAATCTGTCAAATCTGTTCTGCTAATGCGTGGACGCTAAATTGCAAGAAAATTTTGCCTGCATGTTAAGCCTTGAGTAATCTTTTCTTATACTTTGGAATTCTATTCGAGGATTTTTTCTAAGCCTGTGCCGTTGGATGAGTACTGCACTTTATATATAACTTCAAATTTAATTTTATTTACTAAATCAAATAAATGTCGCAGGTGTTTTCCTTTTCCCTGTCATGGAATTTAATCCGAGGATGTGTAAGAATAAATCAATCTGAATAGCTCCTATATCGACATTTCTGTGCATAACCTCTTGCCTCTGCCTTGTCGTCAGTTGACTACATCTTTTTTCTATTTAAGAGGAAAGAATTCCCTAGGAATAGGCAAAACTCCTGTGACACCGAAAAGTTTGATATGATATAGAAAATGTAAAACATGGCCTTTTTAAGATTAACAAACGTTGTAAGATGATGTTTTATTAAGGAAACAGGTCAAGTTGAAAGCGCTGAACAACTCGAAAAATCGGTAGATTAAACGGCACAACCTACCCTATTGAAATTATCAAAACAATGATTAAATGTCTAATCATTTTGTCGAGGTTTTTTCAATTCTAATTTAGACTTCTTCCTAGCATTTAAAAAGACTCTTGTTACCCACAATCAGTTATCTCTGACAATTGACGAACAATGATAATTCCCGACACTACAAATTAATACCTCATGTATCATCAAATAATTGTTTGTTATTATAGAGGCCGTGTCAAAATTATAATCTAATTGAGTTGTATTCCAACCTTTGCATATTATATGTAATCATAGATTAGATTGTACTAGAGGTCAAGCATGGAATAAATAATTGTCTTGTTTAAGTGTGTGGAATTTTCTTTTAGACAATTCTAGGAAGCGATTAGTAAAATCAAGGGTCTTTTTAAGACTTTTTTGCATGCATGGGGCACGTTAAACCACTGTTGGAAATAATTACGCCAATGTGAATATAATTTCACATATGCAGGTTTCGCCTTTACTGGGACACCCCGTGTTATACTGACTTATACACCAAATAGATATTGGTTTACGTTTACCATATATGACGGTATCTTCCCGAATTCCAACACAGTTTGCCATTTAGCCAACGTACATTTGATTCAATTTCTCATCTAGATGCGATTAACAAGGAGGGATTTCGTTTTAAAATAATCAGCATATTTGTTTATATTTTTTAGGCAAAGCCAATCAGAATGCCTAAATTTTTAATGCTTCATGTAAAATGATATATATTGTACTTTTTATCAAATTTGTGCATTCTGATTGGGTTACCGAAAATGTGAACAAACATGCTGATTGCATGGTCTAAAACGAAATTTCCCCTTGTTGATCCGATTACATAAGATTCTTATAACCATGATGGGTCGAGACTTTGAAATTGTATGTATTAATTATTTTCCTTAGGGAAAAAAGCTAGAGTGAGCAAGTATTCTATTTTATTCTGTGAAAAAGCTTTAGTATAGATCAGGTCACCCATCGGTATGAATGAACAATTAAAGCCATGATCGAATTTGCTAATTTGGAGGAGAAAGATTATTGAGGTATTCATTCCAGACTAAGCATAGATCGTTGATATTTCTGGGCAATACTGAAACTGAATCTGGAGTACAATTAAGATGGTGGCTAGGTGGAAAGTCAACGTTTTCCATACCGATATAGGGTTAACCGTTAGCGACAATCATGTCGTTGATATGTTATTCCGGATAAACAGTCTTAACCTATTACCATACCTTAAATTGCGGTTATGTTCGTCCGCCCCTGACGGTGCATGGTATTAGGTAATTAAGGCGTGCATCAAGCTGTCTCATTCTATCAAAAATTTTTAAACACAGAGCATCACGTCTTGCGCTTATAATGCCAAACATTTGGCTTGATTTAGAGCTGCATCATAACATGATGTGGGATAGATAATCCATATCGTTCGCTTTTGGACCCGTTCAATTTTGTGAGACAAATTATCTGATGGTTAATCATGAATGGCATATACCGGACAACAGTACTCAAGTAACTGAAGTAAGGATCTAATGAGTTCAAAGCCACTCTTAGCAAATGGTCACGGTTCGGTTGCGGTCAACCGATAGAAACCGCAGACGAATGCATGCAAGACAAAAAATGCGATCGCGGTTGCCTTTCGCTTTCGAACGGAATGTTATGAACAGCTAAGAAGGACAACACGGTATGCATGTCGAAAACATCTTAAGAAATGTCTGTCAGACTGAGTTTGGCCGAGGTTAGACCTCCGTCTCACCGCGGTTCGATCTCGGTCTGACCTCGGTTCAACCGCGATCAGACCGTGGTTTGACCTTGGACAGTACAGCAACTAAACTCGTGTATGAACCTATTAACTGACCTTGACCTAGACCAACTTCAAACTCGTTTCAGGTAAAAATTGAAAATCTTCTTTCGTAAGTACACTATTAAAAAAATTGCCTCTGACACGTCAAAAACTTGACCGTACGTACGCACCTTAAAACGTACGTGCCTTACAACATATCTTAACTTAATATACCCGCCATGCATATATATCTTTAACGTGTGATTCTCTAGATGACGCGAAGCACAGCGTGAGACCACTAATTCTGCACGGATGTTTATTATATCTTGATACCCTGAATGCAAGTGCGCGAATTCTCCAAGAAACTTCGAGATACCAGCAGTTTTAATTTAAGAAAACATTACATCTTGACGATAAGATATCTAATCGGGAAGTTTGAAAGTGACCAGGCATCAACTTATGAAATTGAAACCGCTGGGGGATCAGCAAGCGGCAATAATAACTATCTTAATACCACTTCTAGAATATCTCAAAATGCTAACAAGTTCGGCAGTAAGCTTCTGCTTAATTTTGTTTAAATATGTTTAAAATATTGTTGATATTACTTATTGTTGTAATATTAATATAATTATAGAATTAATTAGTTATCTTGTTCGGGCACCTATGGCGAGGAGCCCTGCATATAGTGCGAGGGACTCCCTATTGACTATATATAAACAGTGGCCATGTTTGTGTTGGCCAATTTTTTTACATGCTATTGAGTTGAACTTTGTACGGATGTAGCTAAAATTATAACACTAACTGAATAAAGTACTCATCAAGCTTTTTCGTTTTATGTTTTAATACAAAACCTCCGTCCACCCTTCGAATATATCATCAAGGTCCATGATTATTTTCACAAAGCCACAAGGTGGTATAGTTGTGATGTAATAAATTATATCGTTTAAAATCCTTCCACTTTATCATATAAAATCGTACACTAACTAGATTAGCTGTAATCAACTGCTGCTAAGTATTTTCTGTTATTTGTTTTTGGAAATAAGAACTCGCTCGAAGTCTCAGAATCGAGACCAGATCTTAGCCTTTCAGGCAGAGAGAAGGAATTGTTTCTATTTTCATTAAATAAATGCATACTGTACTAAAAAACGGCAAATCGAAAAACTCTCAATCGGCACCATGGTATGTAAATCGCCAAACCACGGATTCAGCAGTTATCGATCGATTTGCCGTCGTGAATTTTAGAGGTATGTCAATGCCCCAATGTAAACTCTCGTTCACCTAATCGCCTCGCTTCCATGTTTACTTGTAACAACTTGGCAACGGACACGTAAAGGTTGTATATAAATGTAAATTCTCACGGTATGTTAAAATTCAATTTATATTCTTGTTCATCATTGAGAGAGACGTGAAACTGGGCTGTGTTTCTTTGATCATTTATTCATTGGTAAGCTTCAACAGCATGCACACACGAGACATACATGAGCAAACATTGCACACGAAAATTTGTAAATTTGTTAAAATTGTTAAAGCTATTGGTGTTCAGAAAACTCAAAATATTGCAACATTTCTTTTCTTTAATCGTTTTAGAGTATTTCTTTTTGAGCATGCCTCGACATTGACCTACTCACTCAACATGGCATTCTCCCTGGGTCTTACACCATTTCTCCATAAACGATCCTGATACAAATTTAACAACAATTGAAAAAAGCACATGTATTTTAGAGTCTATGTCAACTAGTAGTAATAGTACCCATGCATATTATGAAATGCGAAAAACACTGCTGATGTCCAGTTTTTATTTCTACTTCTATTTTAGACCTTTAAAGGGTGTTTATGAATATGCTGTCATTCTGTACTTGATCCTCTCTTTCCTAATCCAAACAACAGGCATGCCATGTGTAGGTGTAACAGGATTTAGAACCATCGCAATTGTGCCGACCTTCCGAGCAACCCTGTCCTCGAATTCCCTCGAAGAATTTTTCACACTTGCACTCTTTGTCCCTTTCACATGAAGATGTACCGGCTGAACAAAAGAAGCAGAATTACATTGTTGCCTGTATTTACACTGGATTGAATGTATACCACCAATTCTGCAGCGCGCTATATACCACCAATTCTGCAGCGTGACTTTGCGACACTTGTTAAATTATTCAAAAACAGATCATAGATGGTGTAGTGCCGGCATGCACACTTAGCGGGCCTAGCTGTTATTTAAGCCTCGCCCGTTTGTTCGTCATTAATGATTGAAAAAAAATTGTGCCATTTTGCAGCTATATAAAGCTGCCTATTCTGACATAAGAAAAGGTATGTCAATAGCGACTTCAAAGTTGGGTGTTTTTATTATGTTGTTTTTATGAAAATTTTAATACTGTTGCATGTTACAATTACATATTCCTGAGAATTATAAAATGACTTGAATTTCTGGTATAAATCGAGGATTTAGATCCCTCTAATCTCCATATTTATCGTAAAATCAGAACATGTGAACAAACTAGGATATGTGAACAAACTAGGACACTGGAAACAAACTATTATAGCTAGTGTACCTCGCTAAAGCAATCAATATCGACGTACCTTGGTCGTAAAATCTGAACGACTTGTCCCAAGTTCTCGCTGAGGCGAACACCACCACCACCAACACCAGGAAAGAAGCTATTTCAACTTTCATTCTCCCTTTCTTTTTGCCTGTAATCAATAAAGCATATAACCTTTGGGAAAGATGTAGAGAGTTAGATGTAGGCTTGGTAGTAAATTGTACTTTAATATAACAAAGTATATGACCAATTTAACGCACGCAGTAAAATTCCATCAGTGTAATTCAGGGCGCTAAGCGCTTTGGTGTAATTTCACGAACGAATCGCCCTTCGAAAACCCATGGCTATAAATGCATTATATTGACACATGCATTAATTGAATTACGACATACTTTGTTCTCCACTGCTAGTTAGTCGCCTTCGGCCAGGTCTTGTGAATGAGACTTCGAGGTGCTGCTTTGCTGTTTTGTGTCTTCGACGATGATAATTCGACGCATGAAAAGGTAATAAAGCAGAACGGTACCGCCTATCGCCCCCTTGACCAGATAAACAATCACTTGCAATGCGGCGTCTCGACTCCTCTCAAGCATGTCACGATCCGGCCTCCCGCTCACACAGCATGAATGGGAATTTGAACTTAGCAATAATAAAATACGACGATGTTTGTTACAAGAACTAGCTATATTAGAATTTTATGATAAAAGCAGTCAGATAAAAATGCGAGCTTTTGCATTTGCTCCTGCATTTAAATCTAGAATCATGCACGTATGGCCGATCGCCAAATAGTTTTGACGGGGAAAAAATTGATGAATTATTCCGCGGATTTATATGCACGGCATGCGAGGTAAGGCCTGCTCATTGTGAGGGTTTCTTGCCGATCGATCTTGCGGGCAGCTGCGTCACTACCTTCAGGGGTCTAAAACAATGATCAGTTTCGCAAACAATGCGGCTTTCCATTTGTTTCATCGTGTTTATGTTACTTCAACGCTGCATGTGATGCTGGGAGGTTGAAACTCCAAATCGCTAAATAATATAAAGAAATGTAAATGCTTCTTCTACCTCTACTTCTTCTAGCTCCTACCTCACATGCAGTGCATGCTTCCGCCTATACTATGCGGAGATTTTAAATAAATGAAATCGTTATATTGATCGCTCTTAAAATATTAGTTCCCAACTCTTGCTCCAAAATTTCCAAAACCATGCACACTGTATTATTATTACTATTCACGAATATTTTGAGAGGGTAAACGTATATTACAATTTACACAGGTTATCAACGCGTACCCTAGCTCCTCTCACATAATATTAATCCAATAATATAAGTTTTAAACCACGCCAAATCTAATATGTATAATAATAGTCTTTCAATAACTTGAAATGTCAAGCGCCAGATCGCCTTGACGTTGTAGATTTTATAGCATCCGACATAACTTTACTCTGCACGTGGTCGGTATTTTTGAAAGTCCAACCAATCTTTGTACCACTCATTGGATATTAATCGACCAGCCGAAGCGTTAAGGCGCAAAGCCCTAAGCAAGCATTATAATTATCTCTTCACAGGTATTGAGTCCCTCATAGAGCCAAAACAGGCATTATATAATATAGCCTTATTATAGGGATTGATTTTTTTGCGACGTGTTGCAGCGATAACAAGAAACCCGCACAACAGACAGCCCTTAACTCCCATGCGCATGTGCCTATCAGTAGGATGATAGGATGCTTAGCTTCGAGTTTTATAGAAAATAATTTATCAGTGACCATTGCTTGCCTGAGCATGCTTCGTGGGATTCCTCAAAGTGATTTTCCTAACTGGGCATGTTCATTATCTGCAAAAAAAATTATGTTATAGCTGTTCTTCGTAGTTTTACTGGGCTATTAGTATTATATTTATATTTATATTACGATTACGATTACCGCCTGCATGGTTCATCAATTGCAAATAAGCTGCCTAATGTTCAGCTGTGTCTGATATTTTATCGATGTTATCGATGTTTCATCGATGTTTTTTATCGCAATGGCAAATTTTCTTTCATAATTATCTATGATAAGAGTAAAAGATCAGTAAATTATTTCATTGTGAAATGTATAAAATAGAAATATGGTACATGGAAAATATGGGAAGTAATCATAATTATTTACAGACAAGATTGAAATCTCACCATGAAATTGCGGCAGAAATTGAATATATATATAGGCGCTTTCCAAAAAGGTCTTATTTTGTATTGAAATTCAGTATGTGTTAGGAATAAAGGGATGAAACTGCATTTTCCGGGCTAGAGAAGTGTAATGATGTAAATAATGGTAAACTTGATGCAATGCATGCTCTTGAAACACTCTGAAAAATACCAGTAATCTGTCTGTAATGACATTTAACAAGACTATAGTCTTGCCGTTTTTACCGTATAAAGGAAACCGCGCTCTAGGTAAACAGGCCACAACATCCAGTTTGCAATTTCATCTAGAAAACTTTGTGGCAAACTAATATTGATGAAGCCGTTAGTCTCAATTGCGGGTCTTGTAGCCGAAGAAAGTTTATAAATGAAAGCAGAAGATTAATTTTGTAGGCACTCCAAAAACAACGCAGGTTAGCTTAAAACGACGGCTATTTTTAAAAGAGGAATGAGGAGTTAGCGAATCGATAAATATACACTCCCACCCAACTATGCTTCTAGCTACGACCCTGTTGCTCGAGTACGCTTAGAATGCATACATTCACAAATACTTGATAGAGCACACGGCAGTACGCATTCTAAAACGCACCAATTTTGCATCTGTTGTTAACGTAACGTGTCGTATGGCAAAACGCAGTCCTCATACCCGCAGCTGCATGATGTTAAGCACTAAGAAGCTGGAAGTTGAACAATGGACGCCAATATAAGGTTAAATATCAGGTTCAGTCACATGCGACCACGTTTTATTCCCACTCATGATCAAAATTTAGATTGGCCGCGTTTGAGAATAAGTAATACAAATGATATAATTTTTTTGTAAAAATTATCACATAGGATTCTTTCGAAGATTTTCGTAAGGATCTCATTTTTACTATAGTGAGCTGTATAAAATTATATGGTGGTAATGCATGGAATATAGCTGAAGCTTGAAGGTAAATCAATTATTAATTATGTTCTTATTCACTGCGTTCAACCGAACATAAAACATTTTCTCCCTAAATTATCTTAATAAACAAGATCACAGAAGTTAGAGCTGGTATTCACAGTGAATCCAAACAGATCGATTTAATGTTATCCAAAAAATGGATAAAACTACGCAATATATTTACACCGAGTCACATACAACTATTAGCTACATATTGAATCTCCCCTCCTGAGATTCATTAGCTACATGTTGAGTCTCTCCTCCAGATTAAGGCTAAATGTATTTACAGATTATATATTCCTTCATAAGGCTAGTTCCACATTGGAAAAATCTACTTTGGTTCGGAACGGACAGGAAAATTTCCTTTGTCGGTGAGTTCTCATGCAGGCGGCGTTTTAGCTTCCTCCGCAGGCGGCGTTTATACAAAGGAAACTTTCCTGTCCTGTCCGATCCAAAGGAGAATTTTCCTGAGTGGAAACTAGCCTATAGGAGGAGCCAGAATGACAGCGTTGCCGTACCATAAACACGAGGAAACAAAACGAAAGTCAAATTGTTTGCGAAGCAATTGCATGGCTGGCTAGATTTTGTGCGACGTGTTCCATGTTCAGATGATGAGATGAAATTTGTCACGGCGACGTGTTGTAGTGACCTTGCTGCCCGCAAGATATATAGATGTATTTTGCAAGTAATTAATTAATTATATGAATCTCCTGATCTATATATGATAAGAGCTCGTACTTGAATATTCGTAACTAATTCAGTCTTTCACATCTAGCAAAAGAAGAGAACAGAACAATAAAATCGCAGTAAAAATTGCAAGTGTACACAGGCGTCTATTTACGGATTCACCTAGAAAACTTTGTGGTGAGCAATGTTTTTGTACGGCTGTTTGTTATTTTTCCTCATTAGCGGAAACTTCTCCTTTTCTCTATAATCTGTAGACCGTTACCCTGAACAATATAGTCTCCGGAGTTCGCATTGTTTTGAGAACTTCTAAAGACGGTAGATATTAACGAGCTGTCTAATGCTCAGCTGTGCCTGATATTTTATCGAGTTTACAAACTGGAAATTATCGTGTAGTGGTAAATTTACTTCGAGAAATTTACACCCCCCATGCATTGCAAGCGTTATAGCTATTACTCGTTCTTTTACAGTTACCGGCAGTTTATAATAGGATCTGCGTGATCAGAACAAGAACAATTATATTATTGCAAACGCGTTTCGACCATTCTAAGTACAAAATTTGCGTTTTGCGTGTACAAAAAATGGTAAAATGACAAATAAAGCAGTTGAACACAGAATCTATGGATATTCTCTTGATCGCGAAACGAATCCATTGAACATGATGCATGTATGACAGGATATTATCATAATATCATGATACTTGCCTTTGTCTGAACTGACAGGGATCGTTTGAAATTTAATAGACCTTTTCCATTTTATCTTTCAAGCGCGCAATGCGTCATGGTAGTTGATTATCAAGGTCAATTTGATTTGTGATTTCGCCATGTTCAGGAGTGATTTAGTTGAGTGATTTAGTTTGAACAAAAAAGCAAAAAGAATCGGCAAGGTTTTCTTAAAAACAAAATCACTTCTACGCAGAGCGATAGCGCAACTCAAAGTTGCTTGACAATCAACTACCGTCACGGATTGCGCGCTTGAAAGCTAAAAGGGGGATAAAGGTCTATTAAGGTGGCTAGATAAAGTATATTTAGTCCTGCTCTTGCCCGTGGAAACAACATTAATAGCCTCGCGATATTTGTCTAGTTTCATTTTCAAACGCACTGCCAAAACCAGCGAGAAACATAAACATAAATCAAAGATACTGGCAAAGACCTACGATCCGCAATAGCGTTAATGGCAAGAACACTTGCAACCCAGAAGGTCGTTATTGGAGCAGATCAGACAACCCGCTTAGAGGCCTTCTCAGCGTGTCCCTTAATACCTCGATCTAGACACGAACCCTGGCGTCAGACCGATTGGGAGAGGTTCTATGACGGATCATTGGAAAATCAATTGTCTTTGCCTCAAGCCACAAATTATGGATAGCGCAGGAGACTTACAGCTATGTGCAGGAAAACAATCAGGCTGCGAGGCTGCTGTTCACGGTATGTCAGAGGTTTTGTGTAGAAGAAGAAATAGATGTTGTGTTACTGGTGGACCCCACCTATGCGTTCAATTCCATCAACCGGAAGGTCATGTTACATAACGTTCAGTTCATTTGTCCCGCAATGGCTGTTTATACGTTCAATTGTTATGTAACAGCTTCGAGATTGTTCGTGCAAGGTGGTAAAGAAATTGCATCAGCGGAAGATACAACGCAAACTGATCCGTTAGCCTTGCCGTTATACGCCGTCGCCATCACTCCACTCATGCTCATGATTAAATCTGATGAAGCTAGTGATGTAAGGCATGTTGCGTACGCCGATGACTTAGTGGTGCAGGTAACCTGATGCAACTGCGTGCCTGGTAGGAGAAGATTGCCGTGCATGGTCCGAGTCTTAGTTACTACCTGCGAGCTGATAAATCCTGGTTGATTGTGAAGCCACACCTGGAACAGACTGCCATTGAGATCTTCGCTGGAACTAATGTACGAATTTCAAGTAATAAGTATATCAGTTCTTTAGTTAGTAAATGGTGCCAGCAACCTCATGTTTTGAGTGAAATTGCCAAATTCCAAACCCCAAGCAGCATACACGGCGTTTGTCTCAGGTTGTCGGCACAGATTTACTTACCACATTCGTGCCGTTCCAGGTATCAAGGCCGCGATGCAGCTTGTTGTCGACAACATCAACCTGAAGCTCCTTTCTGCGCTTCTCGATAACCGTAGCTTGTCTATCCATGAGCGAAAATACGGACAATTGGTTTCGCTTCCAGCTCGTACGGGAGGTCTGGGTATTCCGATCTTCAACGACATCTGTGATGAAGAGCATTTGAACTCCAAGTAGAATCACCCACCAGAATGGTACACCATCAGAAGAACATGCACTGCAAAAAAAGTGTTTTTGAATTCGAGTAAAATTACTCAAAAAGTTGAGTAAAACGTTATTTTTACTCAATTCATGCGTAGATTTACGCGAATACCGAGGGGTTCCACTCAAAATTTTGAGTAAAGTGTTTACGCAAATGTTTGAGTAAATTGTTTTGAGTAACTTTGGATGATATACTCAACAAGCCGAGTAAATATACTCACATTGAGTAAAATAACTCAATTTTACGATAAAACTTGATAATTTACTCAAACATTGAGTAAACTGATTATTTGCAATTACATTTTACTCAAGGTCTGAGTAAAATGAATGCTTCAGTTTAACGGTTTTACTCAAGTATTGAGTAAAATTACTCAACATGATCATTTGCTGGTAATTTTACACACTTCACGAGTAAAAGAGTAAAGTGAATAATTTGCGTAGTGGAAGCACTGCGAATGTATGAATTTTAGTCTTTGGTAACTGATAAGTCGCAGAGTCTGTTGTGCGTTAGAATCTGTTGAATAATCTGCGCTGGACGTTAAAAGCCAAAAAGATGGAAAAATCAATTGACGGGTTAAAAGAGTAGTTGGTGGAAATGGGTTTTGAGGATTATATTGTGCGCAATTTGAAGGTAAATATACATATAACTGCAGGGTTAACCTTTGGCCGATCCGTTCATTGACTTCATTCCGCTGTTTACATGTTTTATCCTCGGTTTTATTTGTTTCTATATGTTGGTTTCTTCGGCTAAACGCCGCATGGCACTAACTGCAGAGATTCGACGAATGCAGTCTTTCAATAGATGTTTTTGCGGAAGGGCATATACAGTTCGTGTATTACAAATCCGCCAATATTCTGAAATCAAATGTTTGATTTTGGCGCGCAAAAATAACGGTATCCGGTCAATTAAATAAAATATTTACATGTTTATATAGAGCGCTCTTAGTGCTCTTATTCATGCTTTTTATTGCAAGAATATATGCCAGGGTATTTTGATATTGAAATTATTAATGTATCAGTGTGACAGTGTTTTTTTCACCAGAAAATCTGTAACTTCAACAACCCTGTCTTCTGTTTATTTTGTCATATTTTAAATTTAATATTACACAATATATTACACAGAGTTTATACTATTGTCTATTGGCCAGTTTATAATGTTAATTGTTGACTAATAAACATGGTAAACACTTTGCCATTTTCAAATGGCAAAGTGTTTACCATTGATTTTGAGACTTGTCATGAGTACATGCTATATCTACTATCTATGTAGTGAATATCATAGGCTATTAGAGCCCACTGTTCATGAACAGATGACTGCCATATTTTGAAGATTCTATAAATGTTACTGCCTTTCTGGTTTCTTCGAAAGAAAATAATGCAACTATTTTACCACAATGAATAAACCTGCAAAGGATTTAGCCATAAATGCTTTACTTTAAAAATTTAGAAAACAAAATTGGAAATGTTTTGATATATACCTTACTGACAGGGGCCCTGGAAAAAGTGATTTCAACAAAAGGGAATGAAATTTTTGAAAATGCTGGAAGAGAGTGCTGGAAATGGCATTCAGGAATCAGGAAATTGGAATGAGGTTAGCTCACTGCATTTGTAACTGATTACTGATAGAAAAGTGCGTTTCATATTTGTAAATTCTCAATTTGCTCACCTCAATATCAGATTATCACCTTGAATTAACAAAATCCTGGATTGTATAATTCAAAGGTTTTTGAAACCACATAAACTGGACCAATGTATTAATAATATTATATTCTTCTGAAAGTCATGCATCAATTTATATACAACAATAATTGGTGTGTTATCGTGAATTCATTATTGACTAGTTTAATATTATAAGTAGTTTTTTTACTGGGTATGCCTTGAGTCTGTCCAAACAGTGCTGTTTAACAGCTTCAGTGCAATGTGGTCAACGCCGCCTTTTGCCTTTATCTCTTCCTGGTGGAACTTGTAAAAGATCCGCCAGTTGTCGAGGACTGTTAAGGCAGTGCTTCATTGCATATACTATATACATTTATACTATTATAAGTAGTTTTTTTTCTGGGTATGCCTTGAGCCTGTACGAGCAGTGCTGTTTAACTGCTTAAGTGCAAGGTGGTCAACGCCGCCTTTTGCCTTTATCTCTTCCTGGTGGAACTCGTAAAAGATCCGCCAGTTGTCGAGGACTGTTAAGGCAGTGCTTCATTGCATATACTATATACATTTATATTATAAGTAGTTTTTTTTACTGGGTATGCGTTGAGCCTGTACGAGCAGTGCTGTGTAACAGCTTCAGTGCAAGGTGGTCAACGCCGCCTTTTGCCTTTATCTCTTCCTGGTGGAACTTGTAAAAGATCCGCCAGTTGTCGAGGACTGTTAAGGCAGTGCTTCATTGCATATACTATATGCATTTATATTATAAGTAGTTTTTTTTACTGGGTATGCCTTGAGCCTGTACGAGCAGTGCTGTAACAGCTTAAGTGCAAGGTGGTCAACGCCGCCTTTTGCCTTTATCTCTTCCTGGTGGAACTTGTAAAAGATCTGCCAGTTGTCGAGGACTGTTAAGGCAGTGCTTCATTGCATATACTATATACATGTTTTTTTTTCTGGGTATGCCTTGAGCCTGTACGAGCAGTGCTGTTTAACAGCTTCAGTGCAAGGTGGTCAACGCCGCCTTCTGCCTTTATCTCTTCCTGGTGGAACTTGTAAAAGATCCGCCAGTTGTTGAGGACTGTTAAGGCAGTGCTTCATTGCATATACTATACACATTTACATTATAAGTAGCTTTTTTTACTGGGTATGCCTTGAGCCTGTACAAGCAGTGCTGTTTAACAGCTTCAGTGCAAGGTGGTCAACGCCGCCTTTTGCCTTTATCTCTTCCTGGTGGAACTTGTAAAAGATCCGCCAGTTGTCGAGGACTGTTAAGGCAGTGCTTGAAGGCATATGCTATATACATTTATTAGGGGTGACATATTGTGTTTTTGGGCAAGGTTGCTAGGTGTGTCATCATAAATGCATTATCGACTAGATTGATGTTATAGTTTCTTTGTTCTTTAGCCTTGAACCTGTATTAGTGCAACCAGGTGTCAAGGACTGTCAGGCTTCAATGCATTTACTATACATATTTATGTTGTCTCGCATTGGTTTGTCCTCGTTCATAATTCAGTGGTTTGCTGGCGACATGCGTGCTTTTGCTGGTTGTTGGCAAAGAGAGGAAGCATAATATCTGGCCAGGGCCATTATCTAAGGCATGCATGTATTAATGTCACACGAAGCGACAAACGTGAGCATAATAATCCGTTGTGCTTTTTATAGTTGAACGGACTGAAGTCGCATTGTCTACCTTCGTACCATTTATCAATGTAAGTTTTCCGTTGAATCATTTACATTTGAACAGCAGTCTTAGGTGTGTAATCTTAGCTTCACTTTTACAGTGCCTATATTTAATGAATTGTGTATCTTTTGTTTTATGTAGGAAAATGAAGATATTGAGAAGATGATTAAGAAAAGCTATAAACACTATGACCGCATGACCCTAACATGCATAATGATAAATATATACGCATGATTCTTAAACGTACATTACCGTATTTTATAAATTATAAATTTATGCAATATAAAATTGTTTCACTCGTGGTTGCGTGTAATTTCTTTACTTAAATCCGAATTTTTTCCTAATCTGTTTGGTCGACTCACTTTACTCGCATTTTTAGTAAATTTACTCAAAAGTATGTGTTACTGTGGACGCATTCACTTTACTCTAGTATTTGAGTAAATCTACTCAAGCAGAATGAGTAAATTTACGCAAAAGTATGTGTTACTGTGGACGCATTCACTTTACTCAAGTATTTGAGTAAATCTACTCATATTTGAGTAAATCTACTCAAGCAGAATGAGTAAATTTACGCAAAAGTATGTGTTACTGTGGACGCATTGTTTTACTCAATTTTTTGAGTAAATCTACGCAAAGTTTTTTTGCAGTGTGGAGATTCCATCCACGATCTTCGCCGTGAGATCGCAAAACATCGTGAAGCTAGGAACTCGTTGCTGCTACAGAACTTGAGATCGAGCATGAGTGAAGAGCAGATTCGAGCAAATGACCTCGCCCAGTTGAAAGGATCCTCAGGTTGGCTAACAGCTCTGCCACTTGCTGATGAGGGCTACATCCTGACGAAGCGCGAGTTCTTTGATGCAATCTACATGTGTTATCGATGGCCTTTGAAACGCCTTCCATCTTTCTGCGTTTGTGGAAAATCGTTCCCGGTCGGTAATGCCCTGTCGTGCCTGAAAGGAGGCTCTATCCATATAATGCGATCTGTGATCTACTCGCTACTGCTACCGATAACGCTGCTTACGATGTTTCAATTGGCCCTTGCTCCTTTGACTGGCTCCTTTGACTGTTTCAATTGTTCCTGCCCTTGCTCCTTTGATTTTCCATCCAGTGCTAATTCAGCCGATGACGCCAGAGTTGACATTGATGCGAGAGGTTTCTGGTAGAGAGGTGAAAAGGCATTTTTTGATGTAAGGGTGTTTAACCCATACACCTCAACTCATCGACGCCAGACGTTGAGCAGCTCGTTTAAAGCCAACGAAAGGGAAAAGAAGAGACATTACTACCAATGGATTGTTGAAGTCGGGCATGGCTCCTTCACACCGGTCGTCTTCAACGCCTTTGGCGGATGCGGAAGAGAGACTCAACACTTTCTCTCTGTAGAACTGTAGAACTTCCAATATAACCAGGGAGCAGCGTGGCAGCGTCTTTAAACAACTTAGCATCAAATGTGGTATAGCAACTGCCTAAAATAGACAAAACACTTCTCGGCGTATCGACCTGAGGGCCTTCGTCAGAAGAGTTAGTAACTCTAACTCTCCTGACGAAGGCCCTCAAGTGGAACGTCGACAAGTGTTTTGTAACCCTAACTCATCTGAAGAGTTAGTAACTCTAACTCTCCTGAACAATTTGGTAACTCTAACTCTCCTGACAAAGGCCCTCAAGTCGAAACGTCGAGAAGTGTCTTGTCTATTTTAGGCAGTTGCTATACCACATTTGATGCTAAGTCTGTAGAGCTGTTATACTTATAGCCATATAGGCCGTATTCTGTGGCCGATTATCGTTCAGTTTCGTTGCCCCCCTTCGGGCACTACTTGAAAACACGATAGAAAATTAGGATAAATTATAGAAAATCTAAATTCACTTGTTTTCACCTTCACAAACCTGCAGTTTTCGAGCATTTCATCTTCGAAAAATCAGTGAATTTGCATGTTTTGCAATACACCAACGCCATTTTGATTCAGGAAATGTCTCCAATTCTTGGTGTAATTTACGACATATATAGCAGATTCAGCAGTTTTATACCGGTATTTACATGAAGTTTCCCGCATTTTTTCTGTGCAAGTAGGTTTCAACAAGGAAGCTTTGAGTAGAGTTTTACGAGGTTTTTCGCAAATTTTCATAGTTTTTCTAAACTAAATTAGTCAGAGAAGAATTAGACAACAATTAATCGGAAAAACATCCGCCAATTAGCGAATTTTTTATAGCATTCTGCTCTTGGAATTTACAAATAAATAAAAACAACTTTATTTACACGCATCAAAATCACACGAGCGTTTTGTTTCTAGTCAATTTATATAAAATAATTACTACACAATTCTTTTCAAGCAAACCCTTTGTTTTGTGATTTGCAACGTACAACTACTGTACATATTAAAATATTGAACACACCATTGTGGAAGAATTACGAGCGCCTTATAATTTTAAAACACAAATAAAATGTTGAACTCAACGCTTTTAATCGGACAGCTAATACCACAATTCATCATCGACGTCATCTCCGAAATCCAGATTAGATCCTGATCCTTCGAGTTCATCATCGTCATCAGATTGAGCCAGGCCATAACTGCTATCATCATCATTACCATCTTCAACTACTGCATTCTGGCAATCACACGAACATAGGTCGGTGCACTTTAAGTCAGCCTTTTTGCAGGAATAACGCATGGTCGAGCATCCAGTCTTGCACTTGCACTCAACACACTCAATTAAAGATCGCGGAGCGGGTGGGCGTGTCATCCAAGTTATTTCCAGCTCTTTATCGTCAATCGTCCAGCCATTGCCAACCAGTGATGGAAGATCGACTTTTGCACTTAAACACTGATACCATGATGCTGCTTGATTGCTAATGCCATTACTGACCGGTAAAAGCATGAAAGCCTGGTAAACAAAGAGCAACATCCACGCCCAAGAATTTCGAGATAATTGCTACAAATACGCAACGACGTTTATCTCCTGTGCCAGTCAAAAAGAAAATCTCTTTCTGCATCTGTTGTTGCATGGCAATCGCAGGTATAAGAACATCTGTATCAGGGATTTTGATAATAACTTTATCGTACGTTGCTGCTGCGTGGTTAGCATGTAGAATTAAACGAGTGTCTGCTTCTTCGTGGTTGCTATAAAGCGAAGACACCTCATTACTTGTAACACTATCGTTCGGGGAATCACCGGGATATAAAACACAGCATCTTTCTTTAGCAGTTACGTACATAATTAGTTGAAATGGAACACCACCGGTAGGAGTTACATGACCTCCAGCGTTCACATAAGAAAGATATGAGGGATTCCTTGTTTTCACCGTATCTTAAACACCTTTCCCACTGTTTTGGAACACTCTAAACTTTCTGGAATCCTTTTTCACTTTTCAGCTCTTCGTTGTCTCTCTGCATTCTTTATGCTCAACTAAGGATACCTGTCTGCAACAATCTAATCGTTTGGAATTATACTTTCGTGCTAGCGTGATGAGGTTTTTAAAAGAGCATCATCGCCAATTGTTTTCCATTTTCCATTTTCCTGCCATAGCATCTACAATCAGTGCATTGTTGTTAAATGCACTCAACAAATTCGTTTTTAGTGGATTGATGATAATAAGATAAAGGCGTTGGTGATTAACTTTGTCAAAAAACTGAGATGTTTTAAATAGTTTTGTTGAGAAAACGTGTGTATTATAAAAGTAGTTAATATAAAACAAAGGTTATGCTGGAAAGGAATTGTGTAGTAATTATTTTATATAACTTGACTAGAAACAAAACGCTCGTGGATGATTTTGATGCGTATAAACAGAATTGGCGGATGTTTTTCCGATTAATTGTTGTCTAAGTCTTCTCTGACTAATTTAGTTTTGAAAAACTATGAAAATTTGCGAAAAACCTCGTAAAACTCCACTCAAAGCTTCCTTGTTGAAACCTGCTTGCACAGCAAAAATGGAGGAAACTTCATTTAAATACCGGTATAAAACTGCTGAATCTGCTATATATGTCGTAAATTACACCAAGTATCCAACACATTTCCTGAATCAAAATAGCGTCGGTGTATTGCAAAACATGCAAATTCACTGATTTTTCGAAGATGAACTGCTCGAAAACTGCAGGTTTGTGAAGGTGAAAACAAGTGAATTTAGACTTTCTATAATTTATCCTAATTTTCTATCGTGTTTTCAAGTAGTCCCCGAAGGGGGGCAACGAAAATCGTTTTCTAAGCGACTACGCTCCGTTTTGCAAGGAAACAGCGTTAGCCTATAACCATACCTTAAATTGCGGTTATGTTGGCCCGCCCGTGACGGCGCATGGTATTAAGTAATTAAGGCGTGCATCTGGCTGTCTCATTCTATCAAAAGTTTTCAAACACAGAGCATCACGTTTTGCGCTTATAATGCCAAACATTTGGCTTGATTAAGAGCTGCATCATAACTTGATGTTGGATAGATTATCCGCATTGTCCGCTTTTGGACCCGTTCAATTTTGTGAGAGGAGTTGATGGTTGACGCCCCTCGTGGAAATCAGCTATATATAAATATGCTGTCGAGGCTAGAGTGGGTAAATAAAGTTTTTAATAATAATAATAATAATGGTTAATAATGATGAATGGTATATACCGGACAACAGTACTCAAGTAAGGATCTAACGAGTGCAAATTATACGTACTCTTAGCAAATGAATCGATAAAACTCCACAACGCTTTCGGTTAGGTTACGGTTTGGTCGCGGTTTGGTTTCGGTCGACCGATAGAAATCGCAGATGAATGCATACAAGACAAAAAATGCGATCGCGGTTGCCTTTCGTTTCCGAACGGAATGTTATGAACAGCTAAGAAGCACAACACGATATTCATGTCGAAAACATCTTAAGAAATGTCTGTCAGACCGAATTTGGCCGAAGTTAGACCTCCGTCTCACCAAGGTTCGACCTCGGTTTGACCTCGGTTCAACCGCGATCAGACCGTGGTTTGACCTTGGACAGTACAGCAACTAAACTCGTGTATGAACCTATTAACTGACCTTGACCTAGACCAACTTCAAACTCGTTTCAGGTAAAAATTAAAAATCTTCTTTCGTAAGTACACTATTAAAAAAATAGGTATGCAATGCATACATGTGGGTAGCTTTCAAAGCATTGCCAAAGATTTTCAAGTTTTGTTCAATGTCCAATGACAGGCCGCAATAATGGCGGGGAAATCAACTGCATGATGCTTAGTTTTACGTTCTAATGCCATAGGCAAAGGCAAAAATGAGCTAGTTTGCTAGTTGGATACAGTTATAACACAGTAGGCATAAGAATAATCAATAAAATACCAATGATATACCATTTCTGCGAATAATTTATCTGCAAGTTTAGGCCAGTTTACACCAATCAGGCTGAAAAAAATTCGGCTCTACCCAGTCTCTTTCGTAGATAAACAAACTCGGCGGACAGACATGCATCATCGCTCATCGTGTTTTGCGTGTAACATAGTGGCTAGCCCGCGAACGGGCTACCCACAAAAATTGCCTCTGACACGTCAAAAACCCGACCGTACGTACGCACTTTAAAACGTACGTGCCTTAAAACATAACTTAATATACCGGCCTTATATATCTTTAACGTATGATTCTCTAGATGACGCGAGCGTAGCGCGACACCACTAATTCTGCACGGATATTTAATATACATTGATACCCTGAATGCAAGTGCGCGAATTCTCCAAGAAACTCCGAGATACCAGCAGTTTTAATTTAAGAAAACATTACATCTTGACGATGAGATATCCAATCGGGAAGTTTGAAAGTGACCAGGCATTAAATTATGAGGTTCACTCAAATTCTTTTCATATTATAGTATAAAAGCCGGGGTATTCAAGTTTGCGTGTACCGCGCGTGGAAACTACGCGAACAATCAACTTTTTCTGTGCTTGTCAACAAACTGAACGCAAAATTCCAAATTTGGTACGAAAGCAAGTTTTAGGGCATACCCCCAAACGGCTGGGGGATCAGCAAGCGGCATAATAACTGTCTTAATACCACTTCTAGAATATCTCAGAATGCTACAAGTTCGGCAGTAAGCTTCTGCTAAATTGTGTTTAAATATGTTTAAAATGTTGTTGATATTACTTATCGTTGTATATAATATTAATATAATTATAGAAATAATTATTTATCTTGTTTGGGCACCTATGGCGAGGAGCCCTGCATGCATAGTGCAAGAGACTCCCCATTGACTATAATTTATATAAACAGTGGCCATGTTTGTATTGGCCAATTTTTTTTACATGCTATTGAGTTGAACTTTGTACGGATGTAGCTAAAATCATAACACTAACTGATTAAAGTACTCATCAAGCTTTTTTGTTTTATGTTTTAATACAAAACCTCCGTCCACCCTTCGAATATATCATCAAGGTCCATGATTATTTTCACATAGCCACAAGGGGTATGGTTGTGATGTGATAACTGATTATATCGTTTAAAATCCTTCCACTTTATCATATAAAATCGTGCACTAACTAGATTAGCCATAATCAACTGCTGCTAATTTTCTGTTATTTGTTTTTAGAAATGAAGAACTTGTTCGAAGTCTTAGAATCGAGACCAGATGTTAGGCTTTCAGGCAGAGAGAAGGAATTGTTTCTATTTTCATTAAATAAATGCATACTGTACTAAAAAACGGCAAAGTCGAAAAACTCGCAATCGGCACCATATTACCATCGCCAAACCACGGATTCGGCAGTTATCGATCGATTTGCCGTCGTGAATTTTAGAAGTATGTTAATGCCCCAATGTAAACTCTCGTTCACCCAATCGCCTCGCTTCCATGTTTACTTGTTACAACTTGGCAACGGACACGTAAAGGTTGTATATAAATGTAAATTCTCACGGTATGTTAAAATTCAATTTATATTCTTGTTCATCATTGACAGAGACGTGAAACTGGGCTATGTTTCTTTTATTATTTATTCGTTGATTAGCTTCATGCAACAGTCACGCATGCACACACGAGACATACATGAGCAAACATTGCACACGAAAATTTGTAAATTTGTTAAAATTGTTAAAGCTATTGATATTCAGAAAACTCAAAATATTGCAATATTTCTTTTATCAGCTATTTGAAACGCAGTGAATCGTTTTACAGTATCTCTTTTTAAGCATGCCTCGACATCGACCTACTCACTCAACATTGCATCCTCCCTGGGTCTTACACTATTTCTCTATAAACGGTCATGATACAAATTTAACCACAATTGAAAAAAGCACATGTATTTTAGAGTCAATGAAAACTAGTAGTAATAGTACCCATGCATATTATGATATGCGAGAAACACTGCTGATGTCCAGTTTTTATTTCTTCTTTTATTTTAGACCTTTAAAGGGTGTTTACGAATATGCTATCATTCGGCACTTGATCCTCTCTTTCCTAATCCAAACAACAGGCATGCCATGGGTGGTTCATGTAACAGGATCGAGAGTCATCGCAATTGTGGCGACCTTCCGAACAACCCTCTCCTGGAATTCCCTCGAGGTATTTTTCACACTTGCACTCTTCGTCGTTTTCACATTGAGATATATCGGCTGAACAAAAGAGGCAGAATTACAATGTTGCCCGTATTTACATTCGCGATGGAATATATGCTACCTAACCACCATATATACCACCTACTAAGCCGTCCAAGAAACATCATGCGAAGCAAATGGAATGAAACCTTGCAATATTTCTAGTATTTGTTCCTATTAGCAACTATAGTCTATAAGAAGACAGGAACTCTCACCTGCTGAATCTTCAAATTTATTTTCCTCATTATTTTTTACTTCAGATTCAATTTTCGATGGCTCATCTCTCTCCGATTCAGCTTCTTCCTCGTCCAAGCAGCAGGCATGCCATTGGTGGTTCATGTTACAGGTTCGAGAATCATCGCAATTGTGACGACCTTCCGAGCAACCCTGTCCTTCAATTCCCTCGAAGTATTTTTCACACTCGCAATAATCTTCGCCTTCACGTTCACATTGAGATATATCGCCTGAACAAACGAAGCAGAATTAGCTACATTGTTGCCCGTATTTGCATTCGAGATGGAATATATATATATATATATATACCACTAATTCTGTAGCGCGCTATACTTCCTGCTAGAAGCAAACAAACTATAGAACGTAGCCATATAGTCAGCAAGTGCTTAAGCGTGGCCTTGCATGCATGCTTGAGTGTTTTGAAGAAGGCATGTCAGCACATTTTAACAAGTGCTCAGGTTTAATCGACGATTTACTCGAAGATTCTACGATTTATCACGTTAAGGTTTCTGATATTTGTAATGACGTATTTTTTATAGAATAGTGTAATGTTGTATAACACGAAGTGTCAGTTAAGTTTATAACTTCGCTTTAAATTATTTTACGGATCAATTTCAGCAATTTGTGCATGTAGACCGCAATGTGATGCCATTTTTTGTTCACGTGTGCATGTCTTAGTTATCACATGTCTTAGTGTGTGATTCACGTGTGCATGTCTTAGTTATCACATGTCTTAGTGTGTGATTCACGTGTGCATGTCTTAATTTTCACATTGTCTCTGCCCTCCCATGCAAGTATGCATGAAGAATTTATACCATGATAAGCCTATAATTATACGCTTTAGCATGTGACTTTGCGACACTAGTTAAATGATTCAAAAACAAATCATAGATGATGCTGTAATGCATGCGCACTTAGCGGGCCTGTTACTTAAGCCTCGCCCTTTTGTTCGCCATTAATCACTGAACAAAAATTGTGCCATTTTGCAGCTAAAGCCGCCTATTGTGACATGAAAAAGGCATGCCAATAGCGAGTTCAAAGTTGGGCGTTGTTATAATGTTATCAGGTAAACGATTTCCAATAAAATTTTAATACTGTTGCATATTATAATTACATATTCGATTAATTTCCTTGAATTTCCGGTGTAAAACGAGGATTTAGATCTCTCCAATCTCCATATTTATCGTAAAATCAGAACATGTGAACAAACTAGGTCACTGGAAACAAAGTAATATATAGTGTACCTCGCTAAAGCAATGAATATCGACATACCTTGGTCGTAAAATCTGAACAACCTGTCCCAAGTTCTCGCTGAGGCGAGCACCACCAACAACAACACAAGGAAAGAAGCTATTTCAACTTTCATTCTCCCTTTCTTTTTGCCTATAATCAATAAAGAGAGCATAATATTATAACCCTTTCATCCCTTTGGCAAAATTTACACTGGTTAGATGTAGCTTTTAGGCTCGGTAGTGTATTGTACTCTAAAATATATGACCAATTTAACGCATGCAGTAGAATACCATCAGTGTAATTTCAGGAAGGAAACGCTCTTCGAAAACCCATGTATTTATCATGTATATAAATGTTTTATATTAACGCTATGAATTACGACTTACTTTGTTCTCCACTGCTAGCTAGTTAGTCGCCTTCGGCTGATTCTTGTGAATGAGACTGCAAGGTGCTGTTTTGCTGTTTTGTGTCCTCCGTACGATAATTCGACGCATGAGAAGGTAATAAAGCTGAACGGTACCGCCTATCGCCCCCTTGACCGGATGCGTAATCACTTGCAAAGCGATGTCTTGACTCCTCTCAAGCATGTCACGATCCCTCCCGCTCACACAGCATGAATGGGAATTTGAACTTAACAATAATAAAATAGGACGATGTCTGTTGCAAAAACTAGCTATATTATAATTTTATGATAAAAAAGAGTCGAGCTTTTGCATTTGCTCCGGCATTTTAAATCTAGAATCATGCACGTATGGCCGACCGCCAAATAGTTTTGACAGGGGAAAAAATTGATTAATTATTCCGCGGAATTATATGCACGGCAAGCGAGGTAAGGCCTGCTCATTGTGCGGGTTTCTTGCCCATCTTGCGGGCAGCTGGGCCTTACCTCACATGCAGTGCATGCTTCCGCCTATACTATGCGGAGATTTTAAGTAAATGAAATCGTTATATTGATCACTCTTAAAATATTAGTTCGCGACTCTTGCTCCAAAATTTCCAAAACCATGGACACTGTATTATTATTACTATTCGCGAATATTTTGAGAAGGTAAACGTATATTACAATTTAAACAGGTTATCAACGCGTACCCTAGCTCCTCTTACATAATATTAATCCAATAATATAGGTTTTAAACCACACCAAATCTATTTATAATAGTCTTTCATTAACTTGAAATGTCAAGCGCCAGATCGCCTTGACGTTGTAGATTTTATAGCATCCGACATAACTTTACTCTGCACGCGGTCGGTATTTTTGAAAGTCCAACCAATCTTTGTGCCAGTCATTGGATATTAATCGACCAGCGGAAGCGTTAAGGCGCGAAGCCCTAAGCAAGCATTATAATTATCTCTTCACAGGTATTGAGTCCCTCATAGAGCCAAAACAAGCATTATATAATATAGCCTTATTGGGATAAATTTTTGTGCGACGTGTTGCAGCGATAACAAGAAACCCGCACAACAGACAGCCCTTAACTCCCATGCACATGTGCCTATCAGTAGGATGATAGGATGCTTAGCTTCGAGTTTTATAGAAAATAATTTATCAGTGACCATTGCTTGCCTGAGCAATGCTTCGTAGGATTCCTCAAAGTGATTTTCCTATAACTGGGCATGTTCATTATCTGCGAAAAAAAAATTGTGTTATAGCTGTTCTTCGTAGTTTTACTGGGCTATTAGTATTATATTTATATTTATATTACGATTACCGCCTGCATGGTTCATCAATTGCAAATAAGCTGCCTAATGTTCAGCTGTGTCTGATATTTTATCGATGTTATCGATGTTTCATCGATGTTTTTTATCGTAATGGCAAATTTTCTTTCATAATTATCTATGATAAGAGTAAAAGATCAGTAAATTATTTCATTGTGAAATGTATAAAATAGAAATATGGTACATGGAAAATATGGGAAGTAATCATAATTATTTACAGACAAGATTGAAATCTCACCATGAAATTGCGGCAGAAATTGCATATATATGGGCGCTTTCCAAAAAGGTCTTATTTTGTATTGAAATTCAGTATGTGTTAGAAATAAAGGGGTGAAACTGCATTTTCCGGGCTAGGGAAGTGTAATGATGTAAATAATGATAAACTTGATGCAATGCATCCTCTTGAAACACTCCAAAAAATACCAGTAATCTGTCTGTAGTGACATTCAACAAGACAGGCCGTTTTTACCGTATCAGGAAACCGCTCTAGGTAAACAGGCCACAATATCCAGTTTGCAATTTCACCTAGAAACTTTGTGGCAAACTAATATTGATGAAGCCGTTAGTCTCACTGATTGCGGGTCTTGTAGCCGAAGAAAGTTTATAAGTGAAAGCAGAAGATTAATTTTGTAGGCACTCCAAAAACAACGCAGGTTAGCTTAAAACGACTGCTATTTTTAAAAGAGGAATGCCCGAGAAGTTGTGGAATCGGTAAATATGAGACGAATATATGAATATACACTCCCACCCAACTATGCTTCTAGCTACGGCCCTGTTGCTCGAGTACGCTTAGAATGCATATATTCGCATGCAAATACTTGATAGAGTACGCGGCAGTACGCATAATAAAACGCACCAATTTTACATCTGTTGTTAACGTAACGTGTCGTATGGCAGAAAGCAGTCCTCATGTACCCGCAGCTGCAGCCTGCATGAAGAAACTGAAAGTTGAACAATGGACGCCAATATCACATTCAGTCACATGCGACCACGTTTTATTTCCATTCATGATCAAAATTTAGATTAGCCGCGTGGGAGAATAAGTAATACAAATTATATAATTTTTTTGTAAAAATTATCACATAGGATTCTAAGGTTCTCATTCTTACTATAAATAGTGAGCAGTATAAAATTATATGGCGGTAATGCCGGGAATAAGTGAAGGTAAATCAATTATTAATTATGTTCTTATTCACTGCGTTTAACCGAACATAAAACATTTTCTGCTTAAATCATCTTAATAAACAAGATTACAGAAGTTATAGCTGGTATTCTCAGTGAATCCAAACAGATCGATTTAATGTTATCCAAGACTGAATGGATATAAATTAACTACGTAATATTTACACCGAGTCTCATACAACTATTAGCTACAGTTATATTGAATCTCCCCTCCTATAGATTACAGCTAAATGTATTTACAGATTTAAACAATGTGTAATGTCTAACCAATCCGAAGCGTTAAAGCGCGAAGCGCCAAGCAAGCATTATATTCCTTCATAGGAATTGCCAAAATGACAGCGTTGCCGTTTCCCTTGTCGCGGCGACGTGTTGCAGCAATTTTTCATCTAGTCTGCACCGGCCTTTTGACCCCTATCTGTAGTGACCCAGCTGCCCGCAAGAAACCCGCACGAAAGGCAGCCCCTACCTCGCATGGAGTGCATGCTTCCGCCTATTGTAATATGATTTTTCTGTCCAGCTTTTGGCAATCAAAGCGCAATCCAGAAACAGCGCCAACCAGATAAGTGTGCTTTCCGAGGATTGATAAGTGCGCCTCTCGGATAAAAGAATGCTTAGTTTCGAGTTATTATTATAGACAAGAATTCATTAGCAATCATTGCCTGCCTGAGTAATGCTTTGTAGGACTCCTTAAAGTGATTTTTCTAACTGGGCATGTTTTTTATCTGCGAGAATAGCCAAAGAATCCTCCCCAATGGCTCTTCATTTGATAGATGTATTCTACGAGTAATTAATTAATTATATGAATCTCCTGATCTATGATAAGAGCTCGTACTTGAATATTCGTAACTAATTCAGTCGTTCACATCTGTCAAAAGAAGAGAATCGAACCATAAAATCGCAGTAAAAATTGCAAGTGTAAACAGGCGTCTATTCACGGATTCACCTAGAAAACTTTGTGGTGACTAATGTTTTTGTACGGCTGTTTGTTATTTTTCCTCATTAGCGGAAACTTCTCCTTTTCTCTATAATCTGTAGACCGTTACCCTGAGCAATATAGTTTCCGGAATTCGCATTGTTTTGAGAACTTCTGAAGACGATAGATATTAATGAGCTGTCTAACGTTTATCTGTGTCTGATATTTTATCGAGTTTACAAACTGGAAATTACCGTGTAGTGGTAAATTTCTTTCGAGAAATTTACACCCCCCATGCACTGCAAGCGTTATAGCTGTAATCGTTCTTTTACAGTTACCGGCGATTTATATTATAGGGTCTGATCAGAACAAGAACAATTAAATTATTGCAAACATGTTTCGACCCCTCTAAGTACAAAATTTGCGTTTTGCGTATACAAAACTGGGAAAATGACAGATAAAGCAGTTGAACACAGAATCTATGGATATTCTCTTGATCGCGAAACGAAAGACATGAACATCATGCATGAATGTAAAATATTATCATAATATCGATGATGATACTTGCCTTTGTCTGAACTGACAGGGATCGTTTGAAATTTAATAGATCTTTCCCACTTTAGCTTTCAAGCGCAATAATGCGTCACGATAGTTGATTATCAAGGTCAATTTGATTTGTGATTTCGCCATGTTCAGGAGTGATTTAGTTTGAACAAAAAAGCAAAAAGATCGGCAAGGTTTTCTTACAAACAAAATCACTTCTACGCAGAGCGATATTGCAACTCAAAGTTGCTTGACAATCAACTACCGTCACGCATTGCGCGCTTGAAAGCTAAAAGGGGGATAAAAGTCTATTAAGGTGGCTGGAGAAAGTTTCTCGAAATTTTTGGATGCATATTTTAAGATGGTATATTAAGGTGGCTAGATAAAGTATATTTAGTTGCACTCTTGCGCGTGGAAACAACATTAATAACCTCGCGATATTTGTCTAGTTTTATTTTCGAACACACTGCCAAAACCAGCGAGAAACATAAACATAAATCATAGATACTGGCAAAGACCTACGATGCGCAATAGCGTTAATGGCAAGAACACTTGCAACCCAGAAGGTCGTTATTGGAGCAGATCAGACCACCAGCTTAGAGGCCTTCTTAGCGTCTCGCTTAATACCTCTGGACAAGAACCCTGGCGTCAGACCGATTGGGATTGGAGAGGTTCTACGACGGATAAATGGAAAATCATATGTCTTTGCCATCAAACCACAAATCATGGAATGGATAGCGCAGGAGACTTACAGCTATGTGCAGGACAACAATCAGGCTGCGAGGCTGCTGTTCACGCCATGTCGAAGATTTTTGAAGAAGAAGAAACAGACGCTGTCTTACTGGTAGACGCCACCAATGCGTTCAATTCCATCAACCGGAAGGTCATGTTACATAACATTCAGTACATTTGTCCCGCAATGGCTGTTTATACGTTCAATTGTTATGTAACAGGTTTGAGATTGTTTGTGCAAGGTGGTAAAGAAATTGCATCAGCGGAAGGTACCACGCAAGATGATCCGTGAGCCTTGCCGTTATACGCCGTCGCAATTACTCCACTCCTGCTCATGATTAAATCTGATGAAGCCAGTGATGTAAGGCATGTTGCGTACGCGGATGGCCTTAGTGGTGCAGGTAACCTGATGCAACTACGTGCCTGGTGGGAGAAGATTGCCGTGCATGGTCCGAGTTTCAGTTACTACCCGCGAGCTTATAAATCCTGGTTGATTGTGAAGCCACACCTGCAGCAGACTGCCATTGAGATCTTCGCTGGAACTAATGTACGAATTTCAACTGGAGGGAATAAGTTCCTTGGAGGATATCTCGGATGACGGAAAAGATAAGTATATTAGTTTTTTAGTTGGTAAATGGTGCCAGCAACTTCACGTTTTGAGTGAAATTGCCAAATTCCAACCCCAAGCAGCATACACGGCGTCTGTCTCAGGTTTTCGGCACAGATTTACTTACCCGTGCCGTTCCAGGTATCAAGACCGCGACGCAGCTTGTTGACGACACCATCAACCTGAAGCTCCTTCCTGCGCTCCTCGATAACCGTAGCTTGTCCATCCATGAGCGACAATTGGTTTCGCTTCCTGCTCTTATGGGAGGTCTGGGTATTCCGATCTTCAACGACATCTGTGATGAAGAGCATTTGAACTCCACAACCATCTGTCATGTTTTCACAAGTAGAGTCATCCACCAGAATGGTACACCATCAGCAGAACATGGAGATTCCATCCACGATCTTCGTCGTGAGATTGCAAAACATCGTCAAACTAGGAACTCGTTGTTTTTACAGAACTCGAGATCGAGCATGAGTGAAGAGCAGATTCGAGTAAATGACCTCGCCCAGTTGAAAGGATCCTCAGCTTGGCTAACAGCTCTGCCACTAGCTGATGAGAGCTACCTCCTGACCAGTCGTTAGATCTTTTATACAATCTACATGCGTTATCGATGGCCTTTGAAACGCCTTCCATCTTTCTGCGCTTGTTGAAAATCGTTCACGTTGGATCATGCCCTGTCGTGCCTGAAAGGATGCTTTATCCATCGAAGACATAATGAGATCTGTGATCTACTCGCTACTGCTTTCAATGACGTATCTTACGATGTTTCAATTGTTCCTGCATGCGCTTGCTCCTTTGACCAGCGAAGTTCTTCCATCCAGTGCTAATTCAGCCGATGACGCCAGAGTTGACATTGATGCGAAAGGTTTCTGGTAGAGAGGTGAAAAGGCATTTTTTGATATAAGGGTGTTTAACCCATGCGCCTCAACACATCGACGCCAGACTTTGAGCAGCTCGTTTAAAGCAAACGAACGGGAAAAGAAGCGACATTCCTACCAACGGATTGTTGAAGTCGGGCATGGCTTCTTCACACCGGTCAACGTCTTCAGCGCCTTTGGCGGATGCGGAAGAGAGACCCAACACTTTCTCTCCTTCCTTGGTGCGAAGCTGGCTGACAAGAAGAATCATTCTCTATCTATGGTGGTTAGCTGGTTACGACGAAATATCGTCTTTGGTTTGCTTAGAGCTCGCGTAGTGTGTGTTCGTGGCAGTCGAAGTTGGACGCTGCGTCCATCTCATTGGCAAATGACATTACTTTGTCTGAATGGAACGCGAACATTAGCGAGACTAGTTAAGTTGTTTTTGTAAAAAGTCTGTAGAACTTCCAATATAACCAGGGAGCCACGTGGCAGCGTCTTCAAACAACTTAGCATCAAATGTGGTATAACAACTGCCTAAAATAGACAAAACACTTCTCAACGTTTCGATTTGAGAGCCTTCGAATTCGTCAGGAGAGTTAGAGTTACTCACTCTCCACCGTTGCTGACGTCATATAGGTCCTCGCGTTGATGAAAATTATCGCAGGCTCGGATACTTGTTTTGGTTTGTGGGCGGGTTTAAGGCCCTGTCACACTGTTGCGTATGATAGAAACGTATGAGTCGCGTATAAAGATCATTTCATTCATTTTTATACGCACGAAAAAGTCTGTAAAAATAGGACATTTTGCATAAAATTAACTTATTAAACGTATGAGTAACGTATGAGTAGCCTGTCGCTGGCGTATGAATAGCTTACGAGAAGCGTTTGGAATGCGCATGTAACATTACCAGAAATTTGCGACATGATAATTTGCATGTATACTAATTTGCATTTAACTTTCAGCATAATGGCCTTTAAGTTTTACTATTAAATACATTAGGTAATTTTACAAAACTTAAAAATGCTGTTGCCCTAGACCTTGCCCACTGTTTGCCGACCTCTAGATCGGTAGAGCAGCTGTTTAGAAACGTTTTGGTGACAGAATTTTTTAGCTTGGGCATTTCTGCATTCTGCCAAATTTAAAGATATATTGCTCAAAGTTTTGTCCGTGTTCTGTCAACGAACTTTTAAAATCGCTCACATTGATTCGAATATTTCGATTCAGATAGTTAATAAATTGACGTATAATGTACCAAAAAAATTGTTGAAGATATTGTCTTTCGTATTTTTGTATAAACTTTCTTGTACGGCTCGGATTTTTACTGCAATCACTTTAAAAAATATTATCAGTTCTATCTGTAACTTGAATAATACAAAGGCTATATACCCATTTGTTCACAATCATTTGGCCGAACGTAGAAATACCTAAGGTAAGTAATTCGATCATTAAAACGTTGGGAAACGGCTGTTTTATTGATCCAGAGGTCGGCAAACCGTGGGCAAGATCTAGGTCAACGGCATTTTTAGATTTTGTGTATTTACTATATGTATTTAATAGTAAAAGTTGAAGGCCATTATGTTGAAAGTTAAATGCAAATTAGTATATATGCAAATTATCATGTCGCAAATTTCTGGTAATGAGTATACCATTGGCGTTTCACAGACTTTAATCGTATATAAGCGGCAGTATTTTCACACGACACTCATTCGAGAAAATGTCAAACCTACAGTGAAAAAAGAAGAAGACACCATGGCAAATAAGAAGACATCATCTACCCGCGGACGAAGAAAAGGAAAGAGGACTCCATCATCAGCCGTTGCCAAAGCTGACGAACAACGTGTTTGTGCACCTGCAGATGTAGTTGAACCACCTGATGATGATGCACTTATTCCTGAGACATCTTTGAATAATGCGCGACATGTTCCTGAGCTCTCAAAATCTCCAACACAACCTTCCCAAGACTCCCATAATTCATCAGCTTTATCATCTGAAACCATTGATGACTTCACCTCCTTCCGGCGGGCTGATAGCAAGGAGAAAAATAAGAGGAAGAGGGCGAAGAAAAACCCTTACAGCCCAGCGCCACAGAAGAGGAGCTGATGCTGGAGTTTATTATGGACAATCCTGTGCTGTGGAATGTGAAGATGACAGATTATAGGCGGAAAGACAAGAAAGAGAAGATCTGGGAAGAGCAAGCACATCAGATGAACAAGACTGTTGACATCCTCAAGGGCTGATTCAGATCGTTGCGCGACACCCATACGCGCCTTGATAAGAAGAAAAGCGGGGATAGTGCTCCAAACCTGACTGAGAGAGAACAGTGGATCCTCTCAAAGTTTGCCTTCCTGAAGACTGTCACTCGCCACCGACCGGAGCCCATGCAGAGTGTAGATAGACCGCCATATTACCTTAGCAACATGATGACCAAGTAATTTGAGACAATTTCCACATGATATTTTTGGTCTTTCTAGGTGAAGGAAACCATCCAGCTTCACAGAGGAGATCTTAATGCTGCCGAGAGCGCCTGCGCTGATATGCAGGATGTCTTAGATGAAGTCACTCCAATACCATCATCTACCGCTGGAAGGTCCCACAAGCGACCTCAGGACACAAAGAGTGACGTCCTTGAGACTCTACAGAAGAGAGTTGCTGAGTCTGGCACCATCCTCAAAGACATCTACAAAGCCAAACAACAGCCCATTACAGCACGAAGTGTCTTTGCAAATTATGTTAAAGAGAGCCTTTTGACTATGTCCAAGTCCAAGTACAAGAAGGCAAGGTCCTCCATCAATAGGTTATTGTCTGAACTCATGGATGAGGACAGCGATGATGAATTTCCAAGTGCAATGGCGGCTCCATCTATCAAAGTTAACCAACAAGGGATCCCTTCTCAACCACCCCATGATTTGCACCTCACTACAAGTATCTCCTTCTGTTCATTTAGAGCATCAGCACCATCCTTCTCTGAGCATTATCAGAAATCCAGCAACATGCCTATAAACATGCCTCTGGCACCGTTGGTGAGAGGCTCTCAGCCCATGGAGTACATGCAGCAGTTTCACCAGCGGTTATTTCACATCCACATCATCACAAGACTACCACTAAACAACAGCAGATGATTCCTCCTTCCCAACAACTTGCTCAGCAACCGTTGCAGCAAGGCCCGGTTCGTGCCTCTTTGGCTTCTGCAACAGAGTTAATAACGGAAACGTCTAGCCCAACGCCGCACAGTCCAAGCTCAGCCTTTGAGCAAAGTCACCCGAACATTACTAGTCTCTCAGGATTTCGAGAAATCATGGAATCTACTGATGATATTGGATTTCAGGATTAGGTTCTCAACCTTCGACCACCAACGTGAAAGAAGTATTGACTATTTTGTTACTGTAGTAACTTTCACGATAATCGAATTGTCAAAATTAAATTCTCATTTCATAAACTCTCAAAAGCATCGGGGACGGGGAATCCTATAGTTCCGTCTTCTGTTAATTCTTTGATTTCAGAGTTGTTGTAGATCTGTGCGTCCGATGATGACCCTTTACCACCGAGGTCTGCCCAGATGAATTTATTATTTGCGTCTACAAGGCCGATGAGTACAACAGAGTAGAATCCCTTGTAGTTGAAATATTGGGATCCACTTTTTGGTGGACACTTGCAGGCAATGTGCTTTCCATCTATAGCACCACATGTATGGGGGAAGTTCCACCTCTTGAGGAACTTATCAGATATGGCACGCCATCCCTCTGGCGTGGTCATTACTTTGGACATGTATTCGTAGATGATGGCTTGGCAAACCTCTCTGACAATAAGTGACTGGGTGTTGTGGGGGACCCTCCATCCGTACTTCATGGCTGAATACGTGCTCCCGGAGGCAAGATGTCGCAAAATCAAAGAGAGATTCAGCCCAAGCTTCAAGGGTCTTCTATACCAGGTATGTTTCTTGGTGATCCTGGGACTCACTCTTGCCAAAAGCTCATCAAACATCTCGGGGACCATCCGCATAAAGTTTTTGAAACATCGCGTATCCTCGCTTCGGAGTTCCACCAGAAGTTGGTCGTAAATGCCAAACTGCCTTCGCCTTCCGATCCATGATCTCATCCATACCTCACGTCTTTTTCTTTTTCTTTTTCTTTCTCTCCTTTTCCTTCTGTTATTTTCTATTTGACGAATCGTCAAAGCTATGAGATCAAACTGGTATTCAAGAACAGCTAACTCCATCCTTTATCCTCGAAGGTACAAGATGATATGAAGGCATCCAACATAAATATATATTATACACAATAAATGACATGCTATAATATTTATATACCCTTTCTCCTAACGTTTGCAATACGCTGAGGATACGACGACCAGGCGTTAACTATACGCTAATTGTACGGTAAATGCGTTACTTAATCGTCAGTCATACGCTAAGCCCTCTATAGACGTTAAACATACGTCACACATAAGTTAGACCCTCGTTACTGATGCGCTATCAACACGTTAGTTGTACGGCACACTTACTCATTTGCGTATGATTAGCGTACTTAACCTATTAGTACAGTACATTTAGCGTCCTTCTGCCGTATTCAGCGTATGACTAGCTTATCTTTACCGTATAAACCATACGTCCAAACACGCACAAGATTTTTAAGCATGCTTAAAAAAAAATTTCTTCCTCGGCGTATACCAGCGTATGTTACCGTGCTTGGAACGTGTATAACTTACGCACGACGTACCACCAGCATATTTCAGCGTATTCCGGCGTATGCGTAATATTTATCATACGCTGCCATACGTTAATGTGATACGCAACAGTGTGACAGGGCCTTTACATTTTTAAAAAAAGTTTTTAGTGAGTATCCTTACTATCGTTTTAGTAGTGCAAATTTGTGGTGTTTTTGATGATTTGAATTCTTAAGAAAGAAAGATATTAATTCAGATACCCGAGGAATACTTTTCAAGATGGAAATACAGTGTATTAATAAGTTTACCGCACATCTTAGTGTAAAATATATGAAAAAGAACAGCACATGTACGTTAACAAAAAAATTATTGTACCAAATAACGATATAAAATGCTTACATAAATTATTTGTAAATTCTTTGTACATAATAATTACTTGTTGTGAAATATTCTAGTTTGTCAATTGACAGAGTCCATGAGAGAGCATTAAAAATTTTGACAAAAGAATTGTCGTTATGATGTATATTTTCAATACGTTGTTGACGTGAGCATCTCCCTGACGTGAGCATATTTGAAGAGCTTGTAGCTATGCCCTCTGCAGTTATTGTCATTGTACTATATCTCCGTATTTTCTGTTCATTTTTTTTTCATTTTTCGGCTCGAAATTATATTTATCAAAGGCACAAAAGGGGTCGCTCGTCAGTTTAACAACGACAACATAACAAACGTATTCGCGTTCTTTAGACAAGAAGAAGAAAATGGTCAGAAATTGAACTTAAATTTATATCATAAATTATTTCAATTAAATTATTATAACGCTCACTCCGAAATCCGAATTACGAGCCAGTTATTTTTGGTCGGTAAATTTACGCATGAGACCAAGGACCCCCTGTGAGCATCGGTGGTCCATTCAGCTCCCGATTAAATAGGTCGCGCGCTCAGTCCATCTAGTATATATAGATATAGGTCAGTGGTAGTGACCCAGCTGTCCTAAATAAGCCCGCCTTTACTTCACATGCAGTCTTTTGTCCAACTTTTTGCAATTAAACAGCGCAAACAACATAAGTGTGCTTTCCAATGCTTGATAAGTGTACCTCTCAGATGAGTTAGTAACCTAAATGGTTACCATTGCTAGTTTTTTTCTATTCTTTTGGCTTCACGTTCGACGATCGCGTTGATAAAAAAAATAGAAAGGGTCTGGCACTGGTACTCAATTTGGCTCTAACTGGCTTCAAAAATGGCGACCAAATAACTATTAGTTATCGTTGCATTGCTTATAGAGTTCACTGCTGAGTGCTTCCAACTACTTGAATCAGATCGAAGTGTACAAAAGACTTTGCCTGAATTGATTATTTAATTGACATGCTGTCAACAACGTTGAAGTGCTTTCATATTTAACATACTTTTTAACATTTACATAATTATATAATTTTAGATATTGAAGCATGCATGCACGCATACGGACATACCGAAGTGAAAAGGTGCACGCTACACCTTCTGCCAATTACAACGGCCCTAGAAAATTATTATGATCAACACACTAAATAAAGAACAATTTAAAAATTAAACTTTTAAAAACTGATTAAACTTTGTGAAGCCTCCTCCCTTGGTTTAACAAGCTTGACCAAAACGCTTCATTTTGAAAGCTGAAGTTTGTCATTTAGTATTCATGATAAAATCATGAACTTCTAAATTGACCTTCATTTTCCCTTACGAACACATATATTTATAATGATATAATGGTTTGACATAAGATATAATGGGGACAAATGCAAGTGCGCATAGTCGCAGGGGAAATGAGTTGGTTGGACTAAGATACGAATAGCTCCAATTTGTGTGAATGTAGTCGAAATTTGAATATGGATGCATGCAATCTCGATATCACAGCAACCATAAACTTGTAATCAGTTTAGTTTAGTTTTTTAGCATTTTCAAATTCTATCCTCGAAAACCAATTAAATAGTTTTGGAAGTTCAAAATATTCTTTGAAAAGAGCACAATACCTCACCATTAAACATGACGTTGACGCCCTATTAAACATTACCTTGGTCACCCAAATGTTCATGGGATCATCATCAACTACACAGATCGAAAACCAATAGTCGAAAATAAGTAGTTTAGAAGTCGTTTTAGCAGTAAAGTAAAGTTCTTCTTTAACTACAATTAATCTTCCATGACTAATTGACGCACCTCGTTGATTATTTTATGCAATTTCGACATAAAACGATTCTGAACTACAATCACAAAAAACAATTTTGAAGAAGGTAAAACACATATATTTTGGAATCTATAGCACCCAGTAGTAATAGTGCCCATATTATTAAACACGAAATGTGCAGTGCTGTCTCTAGTTCTAGTTTTATTATATACTTTTAAAGAGCATGTTTTCAAATGAGCTATCATTCGGCGCTCGAGCCTCTTCTACCTAATCCAAACAACAGGCATGCCATTGATGGTTCATGTAACAGGTTCGAGAATCATCGCAATTGTGGCGACTTCTGAGCAACCCTGTCCTTCAATTCCTTCGTAGTACTTTTCACACTTGCACTCATCATCACCTTCGCGTTCACAACGTGATATATCGGCTAGACGACAATAAGCAGTATTTTAGTTAAATTTACTCTCATATATACACCATTATTTCATTAGTGCAAATTTCCGCTAAAACCTAGCTTCCACACGCTATTTAGAATAAAATACGGATATTCAGTTCAGAATTCCTGCATGGATGGCGTCAATATGTAAGTAAGTTTCGCACACGGAACAGTGGCGTTGGCGTTGCCAGCCTGCCGACTTGCACCGCTATGCAAATATTCCGGTGTCCATTGACTGTATATATGTATATGCATGCATTGATCTGAGGGTATATAGGTTACACAGGATTTTTATTTCGCTTTCTCTGAGTGATAAAGAACAACGATGAAAGGTAATTATTCCTTATAATGTACCTCAAAAAATGCCACATCGGCCTTGGGATATCAGTATAGTAACATACCTCGGTCGTTAAACTCGAACGACTTTCCCCACGTTCTCGCTGTAGCAAGTGCAACCACCAATAGCAAGAGAAAAGAAGACACTCGAACACTCATTATTGTTTTCTTTTAGGCTATAATCAAGAAAACATGTGTATAGCCCGTTAGCTAGTACAATGTTCACAACTTCACAGAGCTATAGTTGTAATTGGAGCCATATTTCTGTACTCTTACAAAACTCTGAAACGGAATATTCTTCAAACTGGATATTTAGAGCCTTAACTTAAGCTTGTTTTGATGCAAACAATGAACACATCTTCACACAATAGTTTGCTCCAAATAACTTTCAAAGAGCCCTATACGATTCCTATCACATTATAAAATATTAGCATCTGGGTTATTCGATAAACGTACAATATGTAGCTGGACTATATTCCACAGTCATCATCCAATATTAATCTGCTTAACATTACCCTTCGAATGTCGACTTACTTCGTTTTCCACTGCCAGCCAGTCGCCTTCAGGTCTTGTGAATAAAACTGAAAGCTACTGTTTCCCTCTTTCTGTGGCCTCTGCGTGATAATTCAAGGCAGTGAATATGTAATAGAGCAGAACTGGTACCGCCTACCGCCTCCTTGAATGGATCCACAAACAATTGAAATAGGTTGTCTCGCTTTTTAACTTCCCCTCGTGCACGTCATGACTCCTCTCCTGCGTGCAGGATGAATGCAGTTTGAATTTACCGTCCGGAAATAAGTCTCTATTTTAACACGCAAATAAAAAAAGCTTTTTCGCACGTGTATAGATCTTTCATCATTTACGCTACCGTATAGAAACATTGGAAATGATAATTCAAGGTATAGATAAGTGATATTACTAATATAGCAGAAACCACAAACACTTAAAAAAAGGCAGATTAAATTTAACCTCAAAATACATGGATGTGTGTTGTAAGCAATAGTTATTGGAGTTTCGAGATTAAATCGTATTCGCTTTTCATTGGTCTCGATCGCATATTTATTTAAATATGGAATTTCATGTGCACGTTGAGCACGTATAAACACGCTGAACTGGATGGCTAACATGTGTCATTAATATTGCGGTCACTGGATGGCCAACATGCGTTATTAATATTGCGGTAGGAAGATAAACATGTTGGTCCAATACAATGACCTGCATATAAGGAACTGATAAGCCACAGCTCATGAATAGTCCGTGGATATATACAGTTAAAGCAAGCACTGCATGCATGCCAGGGCAAGCAAAATCGCAACATGTATACTGTATTTTCTCAGGATAGAATGCTAAGCTGTTCATACATGTCGCATTTTGCCACGTCAAACAACAGGTAATGGGATGACAAGCTTTATTATCATCTCTTTATCTATAGTTTGAATTGTGTTTGACGCTACTTCATATAGTATCATGCGTATAATACATATCATTAATATACTTTTGTTTCAGAGCTCTCAACTGCAATCATCTGCATGGAACAAATTGCTCAAATACAAAAGAAAAAGACGCTTTGCGCGAAAAATATCGCTTGTGGAAAGTGATTCTAGGTTTAAAACGATCATGTGACGTGATTATTGAAAGGTCTATTAATAATTAATCGCCCAAGGCGAGGTGAATATCGTTGCATAAAAACTGAGACGAATGCGAGGTCACTCGACCAATCAGAGGCCACAGTTTTCAATAATCACCTTTGTAACTTTGTAATTACACAAATTAGCTCCAATTAATGCCCTAACTTCATCTTGTCTTTGTCTATACATAAAATAAAGATTATATCGAATACATTCATGGTGTTAATAAAAAATGTTGACCAATACACAATGAAATTGTCAAAAAATTTTATTGACACAACGAATCTATTAGGAATAACTTTTATTATATGTATTTCCTGAAATTATAATATGCAGCTGAAAATGGTTTGTGAATACAAATCAGTCAAATCGATCAGTGCTCGAGAGAAATATTCCTACTCTTTGCAGTTTACATTACACTGGCCACGATGTGAAGATAATATACATTTGCTTTACACGACACAAGCGGTTGTATCCGCTTTCTATACATTACAATTTGATCAAGGTTAAATGGATTGCTTGTTGGTTTCGAAACGGAAAGTCGGTAAAACGTAACAGGATGTTTTTCTATATTTTGTAAATATGAAACAAACAAGTTTGTTTGTTTTTCTGCTAGCTAACTGTTCCCGCAAATGCATGCAAGTTGGTTAACCATCCCTAGGAGCGCGTTTTAGCAAGTAATGCGCAAATTGCGGTAACCACGCTATATCCGTTGCGCGAGCGTCAAGTTCTAGTTATTTCATTCCGGTGCTGTTGCGCATAAATACACTATAGCCAAATTCTCATTTTAGTTCAGCAGTTAATGTGGACGCTGACGAGTGAGCAACTTTGTATTGGAAACCTTATCGTACTTGCATAAGGGCTAAACCTATTATCTATCCAAGTTGGAACTCATTTTATATTGGTTTAAAAAGAGGCTTTACAGAGTACGCGTGCAAGCCAAGGTAAGTTCACAAATATCAGTTTCCTCAATTTCAATTGTTATAGTTATTCTTTTCAGCTAAACGCCAGCGATATGTATATATATATATTTGGGCTATTTCGCGATTGGCATATAATCGGTCTATGCATGATTAATTAGTCACTTTCAGTCTGCGCAATTTATTCAGAATTTAAAGGCTTTTCTGCAATACGTTGCGTAATGTTTGAGGACATGAGCGAATGCACTATTTATGGCGCTTGAAAGGACAATACAAACTTACCTGCATACGATTTCTGCCAATGATCGGCAAAGAATCGCGGAATGCAATAAGGTGTGTTTTTTGGCGATCTTTACCGATAATCGCCGGCTGGCACCTGCTTAAAATTTAAAAGAACTTGCATCCGCAAATTCCAGAGAGTTTCCCGGCAGTTTCCGCAATATCAATCCATTCATCATCACTGAAATTAAGATGGAAAAGAGAGGAGAAACAGAAAAGTAGCCAGTAACTTAGGCTAGGTGCTGCATGAAGAACCCTATTTTGTTCAATAGGAAACAGAGAGAACTACATGAGGGTAGTAGATCAAGTTGGATCCACTACATGAACAAAGTAGATCCACTTTGATCCAAATATCCGAGCGAATTAGTACCCTCAACGGCGCTTCGCACCGGACTGGATATATTCATTGACAATTTGTTTTCAATCTTTTCTCCTATTCGTCTATTTAAATATTTCAACCAATTTTTAAAAAAAATTGTGTATAATACTGCATGAAGCCATCCTTGTAAATAAGCTTAATTTCCCTGAAGAGGTTGTGAACCATACAACGAAACATTAGCAATTAAATTTTACAGTTTTTTATGTCTTCACTCAAAGTCTTTTGCTGGGCTTTAATTTCCAGTCTTAATTGCTTCCCAGTTTCAAAATATGAGCAAACTATATCAACCGATTCCTAAACAATATCCCGCATTTTCATTAAAAAAGTTTAAAATAAGATTTGATGAATTAAATTTAAAATATAAAATGAGTAAAAGAATAACGTACGGATTGTGAGGATTCCACCTTGACATATAGATTTTTACTTTTCCAACTTTACTAGATTTTGCTTTTGTTGTTTTACAGAAAAGTAAGTTTTCCTTCCTTGCACGTGGTTTTCAAGACGGAAGAACAACAGCGGGAGATCTAGCGTCTCAATCAGCCACTTTTTAAATTAACTCTCTGAGAAAGGTTTTTTGAGCGACCAGTAGTCTGGCTAGTCAATAATGCAAAACAGGGATTGTTACGTAAACTAATTAGTAGATCTGCAATTGATGATGTCATTAATCAATATTGGAAGCACGCGCACGCCGGGATAGACATTGCAGGCGCAGCGCATATTTTGTAATTTACTAAGGCGCAGGCATTACAATCCTAAATACATATCAAACACACTCGTTCTTTTCAGGTACGTCAGTAGCTCAGTGGAAAGAGCGTATATATTAATTTATAGTCAGTTGATTCGCAAAGTATATGGTCATCAATGGCCCACCAATCGCCCAAATCTTTCCCAAATCTCCAACAGGGGGGAACCCTTATTGTTCAGAATTTAAAAACCCTAGCATCTTAAATACTGCCATATATGGGAATATCGCCCGACAGCCCTTAAAGCGCTGGTTGCCTCCCCCCCACACGTCTGGTCCCTGGCTACGCCCCTGTTTAGGCGTCGCTTTAGCATTAAAGTAAAGTTCACCTTAATTTGACTATCCTTCTTTGTTCTTACACATTTCAACATAAAACGGTTCTGATACAAATCAATGCAAAAAACACAATTTTGAAGAAGGAAAAACACATGTTTTTATAGTCTATATGCCAATATTATGAAATGCAGATACACTGTTGATGACCTGTTTCTATAGTTCTAGTTTTATTTCATACAAGCATGTTCTCGAATATGCTATTATTCGGCCATCGATTACGGATCTTCTTCTTCCTAATCCAAACAACAGGCATGCCATGGATGGTTCATGTAACAGGTTCGAGATCATCGCAATTATGGCGACCTTCTGAGCAACCCTGTCCTGGAATTCCTTCGTAGTACTTTTCACATTTGCACTCATCTTCGCCTTCGCGTTCACAACGTGATATATCGGCCGCTAGACGACAAATTTAAATTTACGCTAAATATATCATTATTTCATAAGTTCAAATTTCTGCTGAAAGCAAGAAGGCTATTTATAGAATAGAACATGGATATTCAGTTCAGAACGCTCTAATACTATTCCGGTTTTTTAAATGAAAACTGCTTGCCAAGATAAATTGACTTTCCACGGGTGTATATAGCTTGCAGATGTTAGATTATCTCTCCTAAATACTATCTAAGTCAAGATTACTTTTTACTAAATTAACTTTTAAGTTACATTTAAGTTATTGTTGAACAAATGTTTTCATTATAGGGAATCTAAAGTTGATGCTACTTACAAATAAATAAATGGGTTAACATATTTTTAGGTACCTATGTATAAAATACTTTTGTCATTGCAATAAGTTTTTAAAAAACGCTTGAACTCTATAGTAGCTATAAATCGTTGAATTATAAAAAAATATCTGAATATTTATCGTGAAATTGCAAGATATGCGTTGAATTGACGGTATATAGTGGGAACATGCACCGCGTATATATTATACAGGATTTGTATTTCTCTTTCTCGTTCCTGGCGATAGGAACTATACCGAAAACTAATTGATATTTTAATGTATACCTTGTAAAATGCAAAATCGATATCGGTCTGTAGAGAATCGGTAACATACCTCTCGCTAAGGCGAGTGCAACCACCAATAACAAGAGAATAGAAGCTCGAACGTTCATTATTGTTTTCTTTTAGGCTATAATCAAGAAAACAAGTGTAACGCCCCTAGAATGTTCACAGCGTTAGAGCTATAGTTGTTGGAGTCATATTTCTGTACTCTACAATACTCTGAAACAGAATGTTCTTCAAATAGGAAATTTAGGGCTTCAATCTAGGCTTGTTTTGATGCAAACAATGTACACAACTCCATAATATAGATATATAATTGGCCAAAAAAACTTCTCATATAGGACTATATGATTCCTATTACATTATATGGAATAGTATCTGATTCATTCAATAAAAGCACAACTGGACAAAATGTAGACCATATTCCACACGTTTAATATCAATTCTGCATGCAGTACATTACCCTTCGAATACACTACTTCAAAGAATCTCGACTTACTTCGTTTTCCACTGCCAGTCAGTCGTCTTCAGCGGTCAGGTCTTGTGAATGAAGCTGCAAGGTATCGTTTCTCTCTTTTTGTGCCCTCCGTGTCATAATTCAAGGCATGAAAAGGTAATAAAGCAGAACTGGTACCGCCTATCCACTCTTTGACCGGATCCACAAACACTTCAATACGTCGTCTCGCTTTTTAACTTCCCTCCCATGCACATCATGCGCCTCCCACGCGCGTGGAGCATGAGTATCTAGCAGTTTTAAGTCCTGCGTTCTCAACCAGAACTATATAATAGCTTTAGCTATTTCACAATTATAACTACTAGCTTTATTTTAACACGCAAATAAAGAAGCTTCTCTACTCGTTTGAGTTTCTAGAAATCTCTCGGCATCTTCGCGACTTTACAAACATTGGAAACCCTAAGAAAGAAAAAAATTATTGCGGCCTCAAAATCTCCTGCTTTTGTATGATAAACTACGTCGTCTCGCTTTTTAACTTCTCCTCATGCACAATATATGACCCCTCCCCCGCGTGCAGCATGAAAGGCAATTTGGATTTAAAACCAAAATACAATCAATGTGTGTTATGTGAACAATAGTTATTAGCTAAGAGTTTCGTAACACAAACATATTCGCCTTTCGCCTCGCGCATTATTTATATAGAGTTTAAATGTTCACTTGTTTGCATTCAACAACAACAGTGATGGTAAATAGTGTAATGTTCACTTGTGATATATAAATTATTTAGCAATGCTCAACATTTTTTACTTCATTACTTTTTCGAATACTTTGTTACTTCTACTATAACAATGGTCTATACACCTGGGGCCGGTTGTTCGAAGCTAGGTTAGCGCTAACCTGGGTTAAAATTTCACTAAGCTGTTTTGGTTTATGGCTCTGCACCGCTATTTGTTTCAAGACTTAATAATATAAGATTTTTATTTATCCACAAAATATTCATGGAAAAACATGTTCAACTACAGAAATGAGCGATTGAAAAAACTGATGTAAAAATTTGAATTAACCCAGGGTTAGGCTAACAGGCTTTTGAACAACTGGCCCCTAGAAGCTACCCAAAGTATTGACAATCGACAACGAATATCAATGTGCCAAAGAGTGCCGAAAACGAATCTTGTTCCCATTGACGACTCAAAAATGTTTGCAAAATATGATGTGACCAATAGGACATGTAACGCTGGTGTTTATTCAAACATATGAACTCGCTGCAGAAAAAAACGATTGCACCTTTTGCCTTGTTGCAATAACCTACTGTTCACTGAATGTGGAAAATATAAAAGACTATTTAAATTGTTCTACTTATTTACAATATATATTGTGTATTTTTTTATACCATTGTAAAACCTTACCAGTTATTTCAGATAAGTGATAGTTAAGATAACTAATATCTAAATTAGTTACTTTTGTGTACATTGTACTGCTGTAGTTCTATTTGCTTGTGTTCTGTGGCTACACCCTATACCTGTGAGGCAGCGCTTCACTTGCGATAGTAACTTCTAGTTTAAATATCGAGTTGATATGCGCTGAACAGGATGGCCAACATGCGTTGTCAATATAGGTTAATAGGTTGGTCCAAAACACGCGAGCTTTGCGTGCAACGGTGGCTTGATATGATAATCTCATTAATTATCCATGTTTTCACAAATAACTTTTACAAACACTATACAAAAATCTTTGCACAGCTTAGACGCACCTCGCTCACCCTTAACACCAAATTTGTGGTATATAGGGCTGTTGAATATTAAAAGTTGCATGCAGTAAAGTAAAATACCGAATTCTGCCAGTTTTAGTCGAGATCTTTGAACTTATTTTAAAATTGAACAGTTCATAACCAGAAATAATTGTTTATTATGACACTAACCTGAGTGTCATGGGTATTATGGGTGTCATGAGTGTCTTGGGTATTATGACACAGAAAGAAAGCTTTTCTATCCTTTTCAATTTTTTAACTTAGGCGAAACATGCATGCAGCTACAATCCTTTTCACTATCATATAGCATATCTGTGGGTATTAACTAACCTATAATTTATGGTCTAAATTAATCTTTTGTGTGAGGTGAATGCAAATCAGACCGAAGGTTCAAAGGGTCTTGTGGAATTATACACACTTTAAATTCAAGCCATCAACTGTTCCTACATGGCTTGAATTTAAAGTGTGTATAATTCCACTCGAAATTAAGCCCCTAAAATATTTTATCTGGCTAATGCTTTCCAAAGTTTTCTGTGTGCTAAATTTGTTCCTTCATACAATAAAAACAGCCAGACCGGTCCTGTTGTATTTGAAACACGGGCAGATTACTGGTATATTAGAGGGTTAGAGCGTTCCAAGAACTTTTCAGTCAGGTATAACGTTAGTAGTGAGTTTGAGAAATACAACTGCAACGGTAACGGCAAGACGGCAAGACGGCAACGGCAAAATATATTCACCTAATATTGTGGTATTAAAGAAAATACGAGCTAGTATAGACTTGATTTGCCTCTTCAAGTTTCCTCTTTCTCTGAAACAGGTGAGTTAATAAAAAATAATATGATCGATCAGCAAAGTTGCTTCTAGCACTCCAAACAATATCGAACAAACAGAACGTAGATCAGGTTTAAACCTCCCATAGGTATTTAATAATTTATTTCTTTTCAATGAATAATTGTTTTGATAACTGCCGTCGTCGTGTTCCCGTCCTACATGCTTAAGTCCCTATTGGTATAAGTCACGATGCCGTTTCAGCAACTACGACAGTGTGCAACGTTGCAGGCCACGTAATTTACAATTTCGTTTGTCTTAAAGGATCAATAGCATGCATTGTTGATAAGGATATTGCGGTTGTTGCCGTTGTATTTCCCAAACTCACTATTTACACTGCATGGCACCGCAAAAATGCAGTCTCGTCGTATTATTCTTAACGAAATACTGTATTTCAATTCGAAGTATGACTGATGTGGCCGTTTTGGCCGTTTAATTAAGGAAAGCGCCAAATACTATATACCAACGATATTCTTTCTACAGTTAAATATTTAATTAGCTGTCAACAACAACCTTGTTTATGAAACGTTGTTCTGACAAGCTTGACCAAAGCACTTCATCTTGAAAGTTTATGTTCGTCATTTGGTACTTGTAAAATCATGAACAATGTCAATGAAATGAACCCTACAACTCATTTCCCCCTTTGGAACCTTATTATAATTATATCGTGGAATTACACACGGACGGAGTTAAGGTAGACCATTTGCAAGTGCACGAGATTTGACATAGGAACTTGAGAATGCTGTATTACTTTACCATTGCAAAGCAGCAATTTATAAATGGCAAAATTGATGCTAATTGTCAACTCGGAATTCGTGCGAGCAGGCTACTCAGACCTGGTTGTCTCCAGATAATCTTCTCCGTATTCATAAGTGTCAGGATTCGTGGCCTTAATTGTATACGGAACATCCTAAGAATCTTTTCCGTTTTCGGACGTTTACTCATTTGGGGGTGCTGTCGAAGGCGGAACAAGTATCAAGCACTTTATTCTTTCGAAACGCGAATTTCGATCATAGATTTTCACGAGACATTGGCATCCTAGAACTTGTTTTAAACGTATGTTCTGGAGCGGAGAGATTCCTTTAAGTAGTTTAAGGTTTCTGGCTATAAATTTCTTTACTTTACCAATATCTCCAAGTTATATTTATGATAATTTGATCTATGATTAAATGTAGGAAATGGTTTAATTCTTTACAGCAGCTTTCTTCATGAAAACACCGATATCTTGCAACGACTTCTCTCAAGACAAAATAAACAGCAAGTTGATATTATAAAGTTATTTTCTCGTTGGTAAGGATATTAAGAACAGTTGCAATGCCGTTCACGGATTACCATCACCCTTGCTGCGGACACTGTATTGTGCATGAACAGGGCAATCTCATCGTACCCAGGCCTTTAATAGAGCCTGAAAGTAACATTCACTTAATATATAGAGATCAGAGGTTAGGAGAGGAAGCACTGGGTCAGGGCTTAAAACACATCTCAACTAATGCATGAACGCCAAAAAACATGATTATAGACCTAATGATGATATAGTGTATGATATATAGTTGATGTATAACCACATAGCACATTAATCTTGTGCTTGCACACCTGTATAACGAGGAGTGTGTACAAACTTTAGAGTCAGTCTGACAAACTTCAGAGTCAGTCTTCAATCGTTAACGTGACATAATAACATGTTCCGAGTATATTTGCCATGATTTACCGTGTATAGACGTTGATTAATGCTTTATAGTTGCCAACGCTGTCTATCTTGACCTTGGTGACATTGATATTGATGTTTTGATCACACAAATCTGTCATTATATTCTTTCCTGTTCATCAAATTCTGAATATTTTGTATCCGAGACTCAAAATTCACCCGATTTTTGAGGTTAAAAATCTCCATAGCCTTCCAATCCCTACAACCCCCCCCCCCGCTACTTGGGGTGTAAGTAATATGCAACGAGCAATTTCTTTGACACATCTGTATCACGATGAAGTCCAATCATATTAAAGAGGCTCTCTCTCATCATTGCACCAAACTTCGTTATTATAAATTACCTTATTACAAAATTGAAAAGCATAATTATACATTATAAAAGTGAATTGAAAAATTGTTACATTTTTACGCAAGAAAGTCGTATGTAATGTATATAATTGACTTTCAATGTCAAAATTATTATTGCTATTTATACAGTGATCATAAAGGCTTTCGTGATTTGAAACTTCCAATCTTGTTTCCTAGCTTGCAGAGAATTCAAAGTTTAATACAAGTGTAAAATAAAACGTAATTAATACTTGTAAAATTAAATCTCTGTGATACTAAAAGTCATTAATAATCGTTGAAACTGTCTTTCTCGGCGAAACTGATCGCCAGCGTTTTTTCAATGTTAAATGTGTATTAAAATTCAAGATACTGCCGGTCATACAGTCTGGTCAGATTATTCTCACATTTGTGCTTCCATAATTGTAAAGGAAGCTTTCTTTTAAAATTTTTATTGCTTTTATCTTGGCACGTACAACGAGCGTCTAAATTTTTTTGGTTCACGTAGCAAAATTATGCCAGTTAGTGCTTTGATATTTATCTGTAGGTTGACATTTCGACTGAGTTTTTTTTCACATTATACGAATCGTTTATTCTTACAGTGTCGAAAAAATTAGGAAAGATTTTTGGTAAAAAATCTATATAATTATGGCATTGAAACAATCAACATTTTACACAATAAAAACTTCCATTACCAATCTGATAAAATTGTACATGCGAACATTTCTGACAAAATGAAAGTGCATGAAATTGAAATATGATAAGATAATTTAATTGGCACTTTAAGAAGCCTGAAACTACACGTTTAGCCAGGAACAAGAAAATTGCAAGCTTCGAATACGTTGAATTTGACATGCATTTGACATCCTATATATAGTTTTCAAATGTCGTCTCTCTGTTTATTTTAAAGGTTGCGACTATCTTGGTTGATATATAAGCATTATACTAACAATTACGCAATCCATTTTTATAAACGCTTTGAAATATGGTAAAATTAGCGAAGACGGCGAAAAATGACAAGTTATGTGATAACGAAAAATGCAAATTTCGTAAACGACTCTGTGACCAGAGTTTACAACAAAGTTTCACTTCCATTTCCTTATCATAGAACTGGTTTCTTTTTTTCTTTTGTTTCAGTTTCACTGTTTTTAGGAGAAAGTGAAAAATTTGAACCTTTTTTGAACGCAATTGGTTATTATTTTAACTTTTTAATCCTTTCTTTTTCTTTTTTTTTTTTTTTTGTTTCGCAGTTTCGCTATTCCAAACTACAATTTGAGTGCATACATCATAAAAATTACCGCTGAATGCCTGCATTCATATTATATACGCTTAGTGATAAAACATCCACCCGCCTAATGAGCTCAATCAGAATTTGCGTTTCGTGGAATAATTACAAAATTTTGGATTGAATTAAAATTCAAGACGTTGTATGAGTGAAATACTAGAGAGTTAAAGCAAAACCAACCCCAACGGCAACGGAAACAGCAGATAGAACATCATCCTAATACGCATGCGCGTTTCAAAAAGCCAAACCGAAGCGTTTTTTGAGAACGTGAAGGAATTTTATCGCCTAGTGAAAACGTAAGCAATATTTTTATACAGTACAAAACGCTTAGGCGAACACTTTTGGCTTAAATGAGCCGCGCCTTTTTGCGAATTGACTGTTTATTCACTGCTTATTTTCCCTCGTGTAAATGTGCCAACTTTACACTTTGCATTTTGGTCCTGTTAAATACCTCGAATTAAAGTCCAACAATAGATAATAAGACGATTAATTTCGTTAAGCGATTTAGCCGAATTAATCATTGGGTTGGTTTGTGCGCTTTAATGCTGTCAAAATTTTGCAACAAACCACGCTCTTCTTTCCTGAATCCTGATGCCATTACGGTTGCTTTTGTCTGTGAGCTTTTGGGTGCATGTCAGTATCAAAACTATACATTTAAAACTATGATAAAATATGGCGATAGATACGTTATTTTTAATAACAATATACATTATGTGCGTCCCCTTAATTGTCTATCAACATCACCACATTACAGGGTTGTCTCGGTCAAGTTATTGAAATTTTCACGAGACACTGAGTCTTCGGGTATGGCATCTTCTTGGATATCATCCTCAATACTGAAAATAATCATGCATGTCAAAAAATTACAATCATAATAGCAAAGCCAGTGCGATTTTAGTTATGCAAAATGCAAATTTTAATCATTATCTGATTTTTTTCGCTATACTTTAATACCCTTTCAGATTTTATATATAACCGAACCGTTACAACAAATACAACTGCGGTCCTTCAGAATAAAGCGAACCCGCGCCTTTTCAATTCCAGGGCAGCGTTTTATTTCAGTTTTTTATTCAATCGAAAATCGAACGAAGCCTGTCGAAGGGCACAATAAAATGATTATACTAAAAGTGAATTGTAGTTTAGGTGTATGATCATTAAAATCGAAATTCCCTGACTTAATGTAACGATATCATTATATTTTCTGGCCAAAAAGAACTGAATCTTGAAGAACAATGGTAATAAAATTCTACATATTCAGTGAGTATTAAAACAGGTGCCAACCACTGTAATAATATTATGCAGTTCTAGTCGTTAGCAATCATATAAGAAGGAAACATTAACAAATTATGTCTGTTAATAAGTTTTTTTGTGTCTGTGAAACTTTAATTTCATTTGTTATACAACAGGTTATGACATGGAGTAAGTTAATCGAAAGAGCACTTGCTGACGAAGAAGAACATTAGGACGGGGATGGTTTGAGTCGATAAAACATCTGTGTGAATTTTAATGTTTCAGTAAAAATCCCATGTCCTATGTTAAATTTTCGAAGTTCGGCTGATATACCCACTCCTTACCGGAACATCACTTAAACAATCTCTAGCTCAAGGCAGAGTTCTTCGTAGCTTAGTAAATATAATATAATATACACAAAATTGCAGAAGCGTGGGGTTCGTTGTGTGTCAACGATATGTTCAATCTTCGCTCTCAGACCACAAAATACATAATCTTTGTTTGAAATAAAATTCTTACTCCCCCCCAAATTCGGCCTAAAACTGTCTCAACCTTCGACCAAAACAATACAATTATATTTTTTTTGTTGAACCTGCCCGTCAGCTGAAACCTTCAAATCACGTCATTGCAAACAACCAATATATCGCTATCGCATAACTTAAGGTGGCTCAATACAGTTTCTCGAAATTTTTAGAACCTATCATCTAAATGTTTCGCTATAAGGCTAAAAGTTAATATACTTTGCAGAAAACATACTGAACTTTTACCTGGAACCCGTCACCATGGCAACAGACAAGTTTGAAAATGGGCGCCAAGCAGGGTTATCGTGTTTATATCGCAAACGAGTTTGGTTACCCTCAATTTTTTCACGCTATAGATTTACGGTAAACGTTTACGCTATAGATGCTTATTTGGTAAAGTTTCAATAAAATTCTGTGATGGGGAATTAAATAATTAAATATGCAATGTGTTTCTCAATAGACCACGAACCTGGAGTTCGACTGCTGTACCGCTGAATAACAAGGACTTGGTGGCCTTTCCTGTTGTTGACCACTTCTCTTGTTTTTCTGATATAGTCGCCAGATAAACCGCAACAAAATGCCAATTAGGACACATATTATCAATACTGCTATCAGTATAGCTGATATCACACCGATGGAATTGCCATTGTTGTTGTTGTAGTTGCCCTTACCAGTCGATATAACTGACAGAACAGTTGGCGTTGAGAATTCGAGTGTCTTCTTGAACTTCTCAAATTCGGTTATCGTCCAGCGTTTTGTTACCCATTTTGTGATTGGACGAGGTGTCGTTGTGGGTTTTGTCACCAGTACTGGGATTGTTGGGCTGGTGATTGGTGCCTTTGTTGTAAATAATTTCCCTACACGTGGTGAATAAGAAGTTATACAGTTTTTTTCACCACAATGGGATCCAGTGGTGGAATCAGGCTAAGGTGGATTGCAATCTCTTATTTCAAAATATTCTTTAGTAACTATTATAATATAAGTATGATATAACGAGCAATTTAATTGGCTACCGCGCGTGCATTGTGGGGCCATAATGCACGCTTCTGGCTTTTGAAGTTTTTGTTGCTAAGCAACATCTTAAATAACATGTAAGGCGAATTTCATTATTGATCAAATAAACAAATTTTGTTGTTGCCCTATAATTTCTTCTTATATTATAAACACTCGGCTACGCCTCGTGTTTTACAAGCTTCTCTCGTATTCTCCCAACATTCCCCCATCGTGCATTATTACACCATAAAGGCACGCGACTCGTTTTTTAATTCTTAAATAACCAAAACCGACGTTGTTAAGGTATTAAATGGAAATTAATCGTCTAATTTAATTCTATTCCACTCTGAATCCGCCTTTGCCATTCAGGCTAATAAAACAGCGAAAGCAAACACCGAAAAAGTAACAACTAAACTAAACGATATGTATTAGATTGCAGATTGCAGTTTTACTGATAAATGAGGAACAGGGGCAATGACGTTAAAAAGAGAATATGACGTATCGGTTTAACGCTAATTAAATCGCAGTACAAAGATTACTCGCGCAAGATGACAGACATAAAAATCGCTATACTAGCTTTTTAAACTAGCAAGCTAGCGCTGTTTATAAGTTAAATAAACGATTTCGAGTGCATGGTAAGGTGGAATCTTAATTCAAATCTAACGGTATTCAAGTAAATAACTCCTCTGTCTTCCTGCACTAGAACTGAATAAACCATTAAATTCAATATCATTTCGATTTGGTTTTTTTAAAACACCCTGTAGCTATATATTTACTGAAAATGTTTTGTAAATTCCTAACGCGTGTGTAATCTAGAGATATAATACTGCGCTGGTTCATATTTACTCGTCACATTTACTCGTTTTTTAATCCATGTGGGGCAAAATAATAGTCATAGCATTGGGGAAAGCTATGAATATACATATATATATATATATAATATATATATAATATATATATATATATATATATATATTCATCCAAAACAATTGCTTTTTACTAGAGGCAAACCTCAAAATGACCTCAAAATGACCAAAGACAAATTGAAGAAAGATCACTTCGCGATTCGCAAGTGGTAAACAGGGACTGATCATTTTTTATTTGGTTCGTTATTCGAATATACAAGCAAACATTGAAATTAACACCTTAACCGCGTTATTTAGATCGTGAGTAAATAACCGGAAAGATGCATTTGTCTACGAATGCATCTAAAATGTAGCATTTTTTCGAAAATTTTTGACATTATCAAAACAAGCACGGTCAGGTCATGATTAAGAATTTAAAGACAGGAAGCGCAATTTTTACTGAACAATTAAATTTCACCACATCAGTACGAGTATTGCATCAGCCAGGTAGAAAAGTGGAAAGAAAGCATGTAGTAATATTACACCGCATTCACAGTAGTTTTTCCCGCCCACGACACTGCCCTATTGTCAAGTGTTTTGTGTATATTTTGAAACAAGTTCTTTAAAAATGTCAGAATTACGGAAAGTTGAGTCAATATAGTTCAGGAAGGTATCAGGAAGAAATTTAGTCAAGTACTACCCGTTGTAAGCGACTAATTGTAAATGTATTTTTCTATGACGCAATTATATACACGTTCATACCGCGGAGCCATGTTCGTAACACTTTCGTCAGCATATATTACGGCCATAATTTTATGAATAGTTTGTCAATTCGCCTTCACATGAAAACATTTGTCATTATATCAATGATCAAAGAAACATATGTAACTTACGGCAGGCTTTAAAACAGCGTATCGAATCGTTGTATTCCTCATTCTTACAATACTCCAAGTTACTGGGACACGGTGTACAACCCCCGCTTAAAAAATCGCTTTTAAAAGTGCCCGGCGGACAAGATATACTTGTACGGATATAGTACCACGACACTATGAATAAATACCATCGCCTTTTATCGTAAATCTTCTTCACCTGTGCCATAAGTGCGAAGTTCTGTCATTAGACCGACTGGCAACAGATGTGTAGTAAAGATATCAGATCCAAACCGGAAATATATTAGCATAACAGTACAAAGGTTAAAGCGAGTTTCGACACTTTAAATTTCAACATCCAGCTTCTCTATGATAACTATGTTCGATACTTTAAAACGGGTAAATTGCTTATTATTTATTTTGGGTATAACACTAACAGCCTAATACGGGGATTTTGAGTAAAACAACCAAATACCAACCAACTGGCATTTAATAATCTCTTAGTGGGTGTGTGTGGAGGTGGGTGGATATTTAGGGAAGTCCCCTTTTCAACGTATAAAAACAGTTAAATGAACGTCAACGTTGCTATTTGCTATTTTCATGCTTAAGGCAAATTTGGATATATCAATATCCGTAGTTTGTCGTACGTAAGATTCGATTTTTGAAATCGGGTTTATTCTGAACTACTAGTACAACATAATTACATAATTTTAAGATAGACCAATGTTGAGAATGTGACGTCTTATGCAATTAAAGGAAGACGAAATGTCATCACGAAATTTGAAATCACTAAATGGCGATACTTTACTTTGGGCAATTGAGCTTTAGAAGTACTTTATTTCACCGAAGATTATAAAGATTAAACATGCTAACAAATGCTGAATCTAATGCTATTCCACTTCTCTTTATTATGCTTGAAACAATCGACTTTATTGTCAATTACAATGACATCACAGCTTAGGTGTTGAAATATGGTAAACAATAAGTAATCTAGAAGGGATATCAAGTTTTGAATCAATATTTGGAATGAAGATAAATACTTACCACAAGCCAAAACGCAACGACGAGCATCGTCGATTTGCTCGTCATTACATTGCTTCAATGTTTTTGGACATTCAGCACATCCGCTAAGAAAGTCACTTTTATATTTGCCCTCCTCACAAGCAATTGCGGTCGCAACGAATATTAGACCAAGTGTCTCCAGCCACAGTACTAAGGAATACATACTAGGTTACCTGCAAGGTAGGGATTGCTGCGAGCATTTTAGGGTCCAAGTAAATTGGTATATGAAATATTAGTAAACTAAATCCGCTTTAACTAATAGCAATAGCAGGTTTAAAACACGTAAAGTGAACCTCTATTGAGCGTTAACTCGCTGGGCTGTACATGAATTTATACCTGTTAGGGAGAACACTGGCAATGACGTCATTATAGGTCAATATATGCTATGTAATGTAGTTCGTATGAAAAACATCGTTGTGTAGTTCAACTGTTCAAGTTCTAACTTTTATCTCGAAATTGTTTTGAAATAGGCTGCTGGTTTATATTATGATTTCGCGAGTAAATTTGTTAAGCAAAAAGATATATGTTCAACAAAGTATTTGCTGCCCAAGGGATTTGTAGATTGCAGTCGGCAAAAACAAATCGTCTGAAAATAGCCATTTACGAGTTGCGGCTCGTTCAAGTCAAAGTCTTTAGAAGCAGCTAGTTTTCAAAATATTTTAATATACGAATCACAACAGGAGCATTAAGAATAATAGTAATATTACGCAGAATTTTACCCACTGCAACAAAGTTGACAGCATTGTACTTTCCAGTTTCCGCGCGGAAAATATTGTTCGGGCAAAATTCCGCCTAGCGATAATACAGGCCCAAGCAGTAGCGCATGTTTAACAAAATAGAACAATTTTTGGTAACATGGATATTTGTTTTTGAAATATGCTATTTGTCTTGTTGTATGAGTCCACGTAAATGTTTGGCTTCATGTGAATAGTGACAAAACATCATTTGATACTTTGATTTTGAACTTTGAACGCGCTCGAGAAGACGTGTAATCAGAAACCACGTGAAGATCCGGTAAAAGCACTAAATAACAAAAATATTTAGGCATTTAACTCATTGTAAAATAGAAATAAAAACATATACCTATGCTTTAAAATAAAATAGGTCAAACATTGCACGAATCTGAATAATTCAGTCAGGCAATTTAGACGATCAATTGCATATTTTATCTGTGACTGTGTCATGTTAACACGACTCGCAAGCGTCAAGCCGCATACTTGAAACATCACTTGATGCAAAATATGGAAATAAGCAAAAGAATACAAATGCCAATGGATAAAAAGACTTCTGTATGTAAGACTTGATTTGCTTCACAGCACTAACGGCTAAACTGCTCAAGCAAAGCGAATTTATTAGCCGTTAGCACATTGGATAGTATATATTGTATATGTGGTGTGTCGTATATAAACAGTATGAATTTAGCTGCAATCGATTGTATATGCTTTTAGCGTTTCATAAATATATAGAAGTTAAATTTGTAATCAACTGTAAACGTAACATATGAACAAAAGACAAAATATCTTACCTTGAATAGTCAAATAGATTAGCTTTAAAATTTGACAAAAATTTGAAGATCCTGTCCGTCGAAATCAAAAAGTACATGGATATGAGAGGGTTTAAAATTTGTGTTCTGCGCATAAAAAACGCGCACGACCACAATTCCTTGCGCTAAATAAAATTTAGTTCAGAACCCCCTTTCTGCACAAATTAGACTGCTGCTACGCTCGCTCGCTTCAGGCTCGCTCGCTCCGCAGCAATCATATAGCTAGTGTCGATGACACGATTTACGAAATATCAATCGATTTTAGCCACTATCGCATGAATATGTACACGCATTAGGAGTAGGATACTAGTTATCAGCGAGCTACTTGTTTTCATACTGTTCGTGCTTGAAAGTTTAAATTGTTCTGATTAATTATGTCGAGAGCAAGGCAGTATGATACGAATGATTCAACTAAGAATTTGTTATGAGTCCTTATGTATAAACCGATCGCGGTGTATGACATGACGCGCAGTTATTTCCGTTTGGAATTGGAACAATCGAATAGTTGCATCGTCAGAGTGACTTGCATGCAAGCTCGAAAACATTGTATTAACAGAAATTTGAAATTTCTGGAATGTGCAACGTAGCAACTATTTAATATTTCTTACTTTTGTGAATTAGAACTATGCTAAGGAATAGACAAAATCATTACCATACATAATAATACGCACTAATATTTTACAGTTGATTTTAGAGTTTCCTGCATCACAGCTAGCATGAATTCGGACCAGCTGTTGACACATATATGCTCCTTATCCAAGACATTACGTACAGTTTGTCTCATTTTGAACTTCCATACGATGAATAAGAAATAACGATGTAAACGATTAAATATATGAAGATTCGCTGTCTGAACATTATTTAGATTTGCCACCCTTTATAACTGGAATTTACGTTCAGCAAAATTCGAAGAAATTTTACATCATCAGATATCGATGACATCTGCATTGTTATGAGCAGACCCGATGCGCAGACGTGACGGACTTAACTAATTTTATGTATGCGCATAATCGATTATGAGCGTAATACTGAGAATTATCAGGGATAAAACGCGGATCCGGAATTGCGGAATCCGGAGATACGGAACGGAATTGCGGAAGCGGAAAATGGGATACAATGCGGAAGAAAGGGTAAAACGCGGAAAAAGGAATAAACAAATAGAATTGAAGACATAGGTTTTGAACTATGCAACAATATTCCAAATACAGCAACTATGGATTACTATTCAACATAAATGCAACACCCAAATAATTCGCCTATTACAGCACCATAGCAGACCACCTAAAACCAAATATATGATTATCGTAGTAAACAGCATAACCCATTCCTTCAACGGAATAAACGTAGTGAAAAACTCGTGGGAAACCTTTCCCCTTAAGACCTCAACGCTGCGGTCTCAAGCCCCCAATCCGGAATCAATAATGCACCCAATGATACTGCCCTGTAAGACCTCGGTGGCGGTGCCATACCAAACTGACGTACTAAGTTAAACGGGCCATGAAAAGCTAAAATAAAATATTCTTAAAGCTCTTTCTAGCGTATCGCTGCTATTTCGCCGTTTAACAAGATGTGGTCGTTTACGGGCGCGTTGACACGTCGCAGTTTAATTAATTTGCACAGGATTGAAGATTTAATATAAGCACGAATTCCAAAGCGTAAGACAAAATGAACGTATCATGGGGTTTATTTACATTTTTAAGCAATTGAACTTCTATACTTTTTAAAGTACGATGTGGCGATGTGCTTCTGAATGTCGCGATCGAGCAACATTTAGGTTGGCAAAACATCTAAATGAGTATATGAACTGTATTGTTTATGTTCAGAAGCATTATATTGAAGACTCAAGACTGGCACGTGCGCGGCACGCCGGAGTTAACGCCAGAATAGACGTCTTATTATTAAATAATGCTCAATCTCAGCATGAAAGAATTGTCTGTTGGAAGACATTAAAATCATTGCATATTGCATTATCACCAATTTTCTTTTATACTATTTTCAGACATTCTTACTTGGTAAACTTGTCATTACACAACCGGAGATATTCCAAGGAATCTTATGGACGATATTGTGAATCTAACATTACAACCAAAACAAGCAGACAATTTTCAAGAATAACAAGGAGTTGAGAATTGTTTCAGATAACATTAACTTCAAAATCTTTGTAAACATTACTTAATTAGTTATTTCGTGATCTTTATCACTGACAACATCTTGTTTTTGGCAACCCCGCGTATGCACAGAAGAGCGATATTTTCAGCCCCTTTATCGCCCCAAAGTATTAACCATGTATAAAAGTATAAAGTGCCACAAAAGCCCTGGGAATTGAAACATGGTATTAACCCACCTCAAACACAAGCTCGGCTGATCGCTCGGGAACGAGGATGCAACTAGCCTTCTTGCTCAACAAATGCAGAGTGGAACTTCTTGTCAAATTTAATAATGCGTAAACTTTTACTCTGTTTTGGTGCGCCGTATTTTTCTAGACGATTCGTACATTGCCGAATTGCACATGCGCATTTTGTTGGGAATGTTGAAATCTCATACGGGCTTAGTTATACAGTGAACATTGCGCTGGGCGAGGGGAAATAGATTAAAGTTTACAAGGTAAAAGTCAAATTAGAATTATCAGATTGACAACAGGATAAGAGGTAAGAGACCCAAACTGTACTTCAATAAGTATAGTTGTTCATACCGAAGAAGATTTTACCTCAAATGCATGCGATAAGGATGTATATACACTATTTATGCACAAGTCAAACCAAGTTTGTCAGTTTGATATATCGAGTGGAATATTTGTTTCAAACAGAAGTGTTCATAATTTAAGGCGGACTATTTGTCTATTTTAGGTTTCTGTAGAAAAAATAATATTTTAACGGCGTCTTTTATAGCCAAACAAAATGCATAGCTCTTTTCATCATTCTCGCTAGCGAAACTACAGTGCGGACTTGACCAGAGTATACAAGTCATGACATAGTAAATACGAAATATATGTTCATTTGTAAACAATGATCTCCCAAGCGTAAAGTTTCATTTACGCCGCCACTACAGCGATAACGCACAGTTTGTATCTGTTTTACTGTTTCTGACAAAGTAAAAGTGTGTTATGTTCCTACTTTCGTTTTACTAATTGCTACGAATTGTTCAGTAAATCAGTGAGTTTCAGGAAAGCAAAGGGAAATTCTAAGTATTTGAAATCGGGTTGGAACGCTTCGGCGCATGTGCAAAGCCGAATGACGTCAAAAGGTCAAAAGTTACTCAATAAAGCAAAATTTCATTTTAATTTTGAATTTAATGTTTTTTAAAAAAAGCCAAAAGGGGCCAAATTGTATTAACATTTTTGACATACTTGGTTCCAGAGTTCTGATTTCTGCGCGAAATATGTT